TGCGCAGAGAATTTTTAAGGGATGACCTTTTCTAGGCTGTGTGGCTGGTTTGATGTAGCTTCCACTTCCTGATTACTGAACCAGCAGTGCCCACTGGGACATCCAAACACTTGGATATTGTTTTGTACCCTTTTCCTAACTTATGCATTTGTTTGACTTTATCTCTAACTTCTTTGAAATGCTCTTTTGTCTTCATTTGTGCAGCTACTGTATCCTTCAGATTCACAACCTGAATAATGATCCCTTAACTGTGGGGTTTTTATCCAGAAAATGTGGCAGTTGCTTTAATGATAACATTGTAAGACAATTGTGTCCTTGTTAGGGCAGTTGTTTTTCACCTGTGTAAACTAAGAGCTTCTGCAACACAGAGATTGAATACTTATGCAAACAACATTTTTCAGTTGTATTATTTTTCTTAAGAATATTTTCTAACATAAAACAATTTCACATTAAAATAATTAATTTTGAGTTTCAGTGCTTAGAAATAAAAATATCACAGAGAACTATAGTTCAATGAAGGATTTGTAATTCGGTAGAATGAGAGGCTCTGAATACTTTTGCAAAGGCAATGTACAGTATTAATCACCGTTCTTTCATATGCACATCAATACTATTTACTCTCAGAATAACTGTAAAATAAAACAATTTGTGTTTAAGCAAAGACAACACAAATATTGTGATTAAGGCCAAAAAAAGGTTTGCTAGACAAAGGTTTGTAGGTTTGCGACTGTATTCAGTCCCCCCTTGCAAAGTTGCAAAGGTGGCAAAGTCACTACCCCCTCCCAATTCATCATATAAATAGACCACTAGCTCAAGTAACAATCTCAGTTATTCTGAGTTATGAAACCCACATCTTAAATTTTGAAAAAAAAAACATATTAAAAAAGTTTCAACTCCAAATATTGCCAAATTATCTAATATACAGTAGTTATACACCAGTTGTACAGCCAGGGCCGGGTCTTGGTGTTCGTCGGCTCTAGGCACTTTCACTCCGAAATGTGCAAAAAGAGGGGAAAACACCAGTTGAATTACGTTGATCGACATGAGGCACTTTAAACTGTTCTAATGCTAACCCACGTAAATGATGGAACAAGTCGAATGACCATCACTTCGATACTTCTAGTTTCTAGAACAGCTGCTAGATAACGTATGATTATTGATTTGGAGCACCTAGAGTCGAGCGCAATCATGTTGTTTCAGCTTGTTTTTCGTTAGTCACTAGAGTTTCCCTCCTTCGTTGGCCCTAAAAATTGCATAGGCCCTAGGCACTGTAGGCACAGTGCCTAATGAGAAATCCGGCACTTTGTACAGCAACGTTTGAGATAATGGAGATGATTAAACGTTTCTTAAATTGTCTTTGCACTTCTTTTTGTACAGTAGGTTAACTTCATTTGTTGATTGCTCTTTTGCAGAAGTAGTGAGTGAAGTAGGATTTCAGATCAAGCAACGCAAGACAGTGTCCTTCTTCTAAGACTTCACTCGTTTCTCAAGACAAGAATCTAAGGAAGGGTCCAACCAAAAGGAGGTCATCAGGCCCATCCAGCCGATTTCGTGGTTAATAGCTAATTGATCTGAAGATCTCGTCTTGTTTTTTCAGGAAGCCAGGGTATCGGCGTCAACGACATGGCTGAACTGTAAACATTTGCAGAAAAATCATATAATTATCTGAAATGCATCTATAGATTGTGGCCTTTCATCTTTCACAGACTTGAGAAGAAATGCAAGGGGCACTGTCAGTGCTCCAGCATTCATGCTTGTACTTATCTTTAAAGACTCACATGTACAGCTTTAGCTGTATTTCAGTTCCTGTCAGTTATTTGGTGATAGACAGGCATATTTCCTGTGTCACTCACACTGCATATTTGAAAAAAAAGCTGCTTCCTACTGCCAAATCAATATTTTCAGATTTACTAATCCTAACAAAAGAAACACGAGCTCAGGCTGCGTTGAATACTAATTGGTGGCAAAGTAGTAAATGAATAGCAGAAGGCAACAATCATGCAAATGCAGTATGAATCTTTTTGGATGTTTCATTTAGAATTTACTGCTCTGTTCTTCATCGCAGACTAATGAGAATGATTTCCGTAAATGACACTCTATATCCATCCCTCATCTTACCTGAACATGACCACTGCATTAGCTGTACCATTTTTGAGCTACGTTTAATTTTATTGCAGAATTGTTTCCTGCACTGTGGAAACTACTATGCAGTACTACACTGTAAGCTGAAAAAAATTGTAACACTTTACATTATTATTTATATATAAATTAGAATGGCTTTGCATTTAATGCAGTGTACTTTCTTACTGTAACCCCCTCCAAGTTGTGTTTAATACAGATCACTTGAGCAATATGATTATATTCCAAAACAGATTGTGCTTGTGTTTGTTTCCATGCATCAAAAGTTGTGGTTTTCTAAAATAACTTTCCTTTGTTTCTTTTCATTTTTAACTGCATTTTCTGGTTTCTCTTTATTGACAGTATAAGGGTCAGCATAGCTCATCTGCCTGCACAAATATTGGTAATGGAGCACAACTGGGGTAGTGGGAGACTAGCGAAAGTATTGGTGATCACCATCTGCTGGTTTTCTGTAAGCACTGCAGCTCAAAGAAAAGTGCAGCCCTACCACATGGCCACACTTTCCACAAGATAAAGCACTTGCCTTTAGAGCTCATGATAAAAGTTCAGTTTCCTGGCTCTGACTGCCTGCTGCTCCAGCATTACTTTGGTGTGGATAATGGAATGGCTGCTTTCAGGTACTCAGTCTGTTTGGGTGCGCGTTGTAGTCTGTGGCATGGATAGTGAGAAAGCAGGGCCTGAGTATTACAGGGTGATGAACACCTGCAGGAAGCCTGCATAGTCAGTGGCTGTGAATGGGACTGTGTTGCCAGTTTGTCAGGCAGTCCAGGCTTTTTAATGATGAGGTAGCTGTCTTGGCTTTGGTAGCTGGTGACCAGGTTTTTAACCTCTGGCTCAGACTCACTACCCCTCCAGCACTACAAATTTGTTTCTGGCAAACCCGATAAACGAAAACACTTCATTGAACGTAGTAAGATACTACTGACAAATACACTGGACAACTGTAGGGACCCCTCTGCTGTTAGAAAAAGACTCCAGCAGAGGGCTGTCAATTGATTTGTGTAGCGTCAGACAATTTCTAAATGTTTTTTTGGAAGAATTTAGAATCTTTTGGTTTGAAAAGATGTAATACATTTGCAGATTTAATTATACTTTATTGTTACCACAGTTCTGTGAGTCTTATCTATGTTTTGCTGATGTCTCCAGTTATTATCCAAGACTTAACTGCAGCTTTATCTCTTCCAAGTGATGACTTGAATCTAGGCTGAACAAAGCTGGCTCTAGGACGCGCTGCTATTCTTCATTTCTTATTAACAGTCCCACATTTCTCTCTTTTATTTGACTCAACCATAAAGACTACTTTTTAAGCTTGGAAATATATGTGCATGCAAAAAAGATACTCAAGAGTATTATTTTTATGGGGAAAAAAATGTAGAACATTCCATGGTTAGGAAGCTCACCAAAATAAACAAAACCAACTGTTTATTTTTTCACAAACTGTTGTGTGGGCCTGGCTACACTCACTCGGGCTGATTAGGTTCCCACAATCTCTTTTTCCCCTTCTTCTGAACCGATGCAGCATTTTTTCCAACCCTGCTCCAACGAGAAAGTTACAAATGATTCCTGCACAAGAATGAAAAAATCCAATTCAGCATAAAACAGTTATGCAAACCCTTCCGCTAAAGTCCGGCTGGAAATGTATTTATACATTGGCTAATGCAAGGAAAAGGTTATTACAGTATATTGTCAGATTATTTCTTTCAGATATTTAAACTAAGTAGTCTTCCCTATTAAGAAATGGAAATGCTTAAGAATCTGTCTATGAGCTCAAAGTACTGTAGTTCACAAGATTAAAGTCTCATGGAATTTATTGTAGTCGTGCAATCATTGTTATCCAATTTGTTAGCAAATTTGGATGCTTTCTTATTGGCACATGGTCATTCCAGAACACTGAAAGCTCCTTTTTGCTTCGAAAAGTCAAAATATAAATAGAATCAGCCTGTAACTCCCCCTTATGCTGTTAAATTAATAATAATTGAAAACAATCTTCCTATGAAAAGGTTTTAGGATGTCTTGCAGTGCCATATGCTCCAAAGTAATAGAAAAGACGATGCTGTGAAAGTTATGATAATTACGATGTGTAATTTCTTTAAAGTTGTCATCCAAAAATAAAGATATTGACATAAATTAGAAAAAATAAATGATTATTACTTCTTTGACTTTACAAATTCTACATATCAAGGTTGCTACAGTATATGTATAGTTGATTTATTCTTAATATTTGCATCTCAAAGATCAAACATTTGATCTGGTGATCATATCTGGGTAACAGAGTCTGAAGTTCTGCAATTTTGAAAACTTTTATTTTTACACTGCAAGAATTTACTTAACCACACAATCTTTTGTAATCTAGTTTAAGTAGGGAATTTAGTTTGCTTTCTTTTCTGGTCCACCTGAAGCCATTGCTCTTGTAAAACATTTTTGCATACAGTAGGTTATTATTAAATAAAGTTGGACTTAAAAATAGAGATAAAAATAGAGGTGAAGTGTGCAAGATTTAATTGAAAGGTTTTGTGATAATGCTAAAACAATAGGGTAGAATGGATTATCCAGACTCTATTGCTGTCCAGAGAGTAATTTTAAAAGTGCTTTTTATTTTAACAGTATAGGGAACTATAGTATTTTAAAAAGTACTGCCTACACATGAGGAAAGAGTAGTGGGCACATTCACACAAAACCTGCTTGCAGCGGTGAGAAGCAGAAAGACCAAGAACAATTTAGAGAAAAACACTAAACAGTGAGCTGGACTTTCCAAAAATAACTTGCAGGATGATAACATGGTGTTTTTTTAATGAACACACCAAAACATTATTTTATTTGACTCACACCTTGATTAAGTGAAGGCACAGATCACTGGTCAATTAGCTATGTAATGGGCCACATATTTATTAATAGACATAGAGAAAACAAAGAAGTAGTCAGTTATCATGGGATCATGCGGGGCAATATTCAATACAAATAAACAACAGCATGAACTGAACACAAAAGAAACTCCAGAAATGGCTCACATCTTACACAACATGTCAGAAGTCTACATTAAACAGAGCAATGAGGTTTTCTTTTTCATTTAAAGGCAGCGTGTTTGAAGACTGAATGGTAGACACGAAGCTTTTGCCAGAGAACATACAGCAATGGTCTGGAATACAGAGCAGTCTACATGAAATTAGCATTTTTGCATTCAGCTTGGACTAAGAGAACTCGATGCTTCTAATTTGTTATGATATGGTGGTACAAAAACATCTGACCAATTATGAAAATACCATACTTGAATTGACCTACAGCTATATTATGGGAACAGGCATGATATAATAAAATATATCAATTTACTTGGTGCACTGTCACAAGAAGGCCACAACATCAAATTGGAGGACTATGCTGACTCTTAATGCTATCCCCTATTTAACCACAGTGACACACTTCTGATCCTTATAACACGACTCTCTGGCACATGATAGATATTAATGTTTTATATGTCTTCCACTGAACCGTTACATTATACTGCATATTGCTTCATCTACAGTCAGGATACTATCATAATAGGAAGAAAGAGGGAGGAAACACTGAAGATTTGGTTGGACTAGGGCACGCTAAGGATTATTTTAAATAAGTATCATAAATAACATTCCTGTTTAACTTCTGCTGTCTGCCATCTAGTCAGAAAACAGACTGGCAAAGGATTTCCTCAAGTTTCGTATGGTCTCTGCCTTGGCTTCATCTTCGGTGGCCGAGCGAAAGAAGGATGACTCGGTGAAGTTGAAGGCATTAGTCAAGGACTGCGATTTACTGGAAGAAACAAGGAAACACCAGATAAGAGGAGCATTTTTCTCCCACTATACATTTGACACATATTTAATTAAAGTCATAGTTGTATTTCAATCAACAGGTCCTGCCTTATCAAAACCAATATAAAAAACACATAAAAACAAAAGGACCCAGTCTGTTTTTTGCACTTTGTATAGCCTTGCTTATTGACTTCTGCCTGGACAATGACACATTTTAAAAATGTTGATGCCAAAGATTAAATTAGAATAGCCCAAACGGTCCATGAAAGCTTGAAATCGGGCTGGAAAGGACTCGTCTTCTAGTTTGTTTCACAAGATGGCAGTATTGTACAATAGAAACAGCTGTGTCATGCTAGGGAATTTTTCTTGGCAATTAAATGTAGTTTATTGGAGTGGTTCTGCAGCTATTTGAAGCAGAAGTCTCAAGAGATGAGTCAAATTACTTAGGTACGGAATAATTTATCAGACTGAATACTGAACACTAACCACGCACAAAAAGTTCATTTATGTAAATTGTGTTAAAAGTATTCCCATTACACACTTGTGCTATGAGGGACTGTAAATGTGATCATGTAAATAGTGGCATTTTTGTAAACTGTTAATCCTTTCTTAAAATATTGACATCTGACTGAATGCATTGTCAAAGTGAAATGATCCAATCAGAGTATAAACTTATGAGTATGAGTATAAGCAAAAAGAAAAACAGAGTTTAATTTACAGATTTATATTCTTAACAGTGCCCGCCTTCTTATTCTCCTCCTCACAACTGCTGACACCTATTCACACCAAGTCTTGAGATCAAGAAGATTATTTCTGACTTGAGTATTCACATGGGAACCTGACTAGTGTGTGGGGGTTTGCCATTGAATATCTGGCCATGAGAGGAAAAAGACCCAATCTAATTTGTCGTCAGAATTTTTAAGAAGTTATTTATTGTTCTTTTGGTAAATGTGTATCTCAGACATTTAACATATTATTTTTAAAACGAGGGTAAAAGGCAGTTGTTATCACATTAAGCCAATGCCTACTAATGAGAGTGCCTCTTAACAAAGGGCACTACATATTTTTATCTTACTACAATTTTAAAGTTTTTTCAATTACTAAGCAGCAGCAATCCAGGACGATAGTGAAGTCGCTGTCACTATCCAGTGGGGTGTCTTGTCCCACACAAACAAGCCCTTCCCCCCCAGTATTCCACAAAAAAGCCTCTTACTTCAACTGTGGGTGCGACTGAGGTTTCTGCTGGGTGACAGGCTGAGGCTGAGGCTGAGGCTGAGGCTGGAGTTTCGGAGGCAGGGGTTTCGGAGGCTGCGGTTTTGGAGGCTGGGGTTTCAGAGGCTGGAGTTTCGGAGGCTCCTCTTCTGGCGTCCCTACAGAGGCAGCCCCTTGTCCCTGCGGCCGGGGCTGCTGTGTAGTGGGGCCCAGTTGTGGCTGGAGACTGGGCTCCTGTGCAGATGCACTCTGAGCTTGTTCTGATGGAGGCTCCTGACTCTGGGATTGGGATCCTTGGGGTTGCACTGGGCCCCCTAGGTTCAGTACAAGAAACACTTCATCATGTCACAACTTTTTTTTTTTTCCTCACACAGAGCAAATAGATTTTAAATCCAGCACCTGTTACATCATTTCGCTTATGTATTTGTCTGAATCCATCACACGTTAAGGAGGTCTCTGGTCTTATAAAAAGGTTTATAAGACTCCAGGTTTTCAACGACTGTCCAAACAAGACACACAAGTAATCTATCTAGAGAGGGGGGGAAAGGAAGCAAGCAGTTTTGCTTCTTAGGATGTTAGAGACGGAGGGAGCACAACGAAATAGATTTGAAGAATGCAAAGGAAACCACAAGGGACACAGAAGTAGCGGGACTGGAGCCAGTCTCTTGCAATACAATATACTTCATGCACCAGAAGCAAGGCATAGAGGAGAAAACATGCGTAACAGAACGATATTCCAAGAGGTTATGTGCACTGTGACTTTAGGGCAGTTTTTCCCAAAGCATATTTTTCAAGAACAAAATGGTTCCAAATTTCAAAAGAATGCCCTGTTTCGGTTTTTGCTGCATACCCACCCCAATTTGGAATCGCCAATTGCTGCTCCACTCTTTGGCTCACCGGAGCGACTGGGGAGGATGACAATGGGCTGACATAACCCTCCAGCCCGCACACCCACCCATCAGAGCCATTGTTATCTTTTGACATGCTGGACATTCCACTCTCTGCTGCACTGGGACGGTAAGTCTGGCTTGGTCTCATAAAAGAAGGAAGATTCATATTTGACAAAATTTTATTGGATCATATAGCTTCAGTACTAATATTGTTTGGGATAGAAATGAATCAGTGAACCTTTCCAGTATTACTGTTAAAGTCTATCAATCTTCAGTTCTGGGGCACGATTATTATACAGGTCGACACTGTGTGGAACTGGAAGCAATATAACACACCCTGATTTGCAGTAGCACTGTTGCAGAATAGAATGCCTATTTGCTTTTTTAAATAATTCAGAAAAACGTGCTGGAAGCAGAACATTCCTTTCTTCATTTATTGAGCTGTAATTTAACTGAAAAACTACACTTTATCCTGGTTGAAAAGCAGTAGATTAGCAAAGCATAGGAATGAAACATCTATTCCTACAGTACAAATACTGATATTTCCAAGTCGGGCATTTGTGTGGATATCATATACACATATTTTGCATGATTAATTGCACTCCACGTGGGATGATTGACTTTACAAACAGTAATCATTTTGTATCACATATTAATCCAAATATCATTTTATGCTTTGAGTTTGCACCTCAACAGATGGGCAAGCACAATAAGAGCATTGCAGACAAATCTGACCCAGAGTTTAGTGTAAACCTGAGAAAACGGTAATATCCTTCTGTCAAGGTTACTTCTGTATGAATGAGTGTTAGTTTAAAAGGTTGAGAAATAAAATGTTCAGTTTCATAACAAATATTGTAACACAGAACATACGGATCTTGCAAAGGAAGCTTTATTGCCAGGAAAGGATAAAGGGGGCAAAAGTATCACGCAAGAAGCAGGGCAATTCATCCACAATCATCCACAATCATTTCAACCATAGTACTGGATTTAAAAAAAAGACAAACAGTTCTCTTTCTTGAAAATTTAGAACAATTGGTATAAATACATATCAGTGGATTAAAACTATATAGAATGGAAGCTGAAAAACATTCAAAACCAGCCAAATCACTTAAAAACTGCACCGGAGAAATGTTTTCCTTAGGTAAATCAAGTTAACAGTCATGGGTGTGAATACAGAACTAGATAAAATTGACAAACGTTCTGATATATAAAGCATTTAAAAACCATTTTACTTCTGGAAATGCATCAGTTCTGTAAAGTTTTGCATTTTTTCGATATGAATGCCTTCATGTTTAACATGTAACTGGTCCAGAAAAGGCTTTCACAGAAACAACAGAAATCTAATTTTGGATGTATTGTTCTAAGATTGGTGGTATTTAAAATTGACAAAAAAATATCCTGTGTTTAAAAATGTTATTTTTCCTTTTTCTGTTATGGTTCAAAGGTATACCATTCTCCAGTGCCTACTTAAATAATTTGAATGATGAAGGAAGCTCTATTAAATATATATGAATGGCTTCTCAAAGATATTTCTTTTTTGCAAGATAAGTTTTAAGATTTTGGAAATAGGAGAACAATATAACCTATTACAATTCTAAAACAGTGCACAACCAGCCTAGCTATTTGGATGTTTACAGTCTTTAGCCTTGAAAAGAAAATGTTTGCAAAAATTAAAAAGGTTATGGAGTGCAATATAGTTTTATTGTAACTTTTAAATTTAGTAACTAATAACTCTATTTTTTACTCAAATACAGCCTGCACTAATATTTGTTACATTAATACTACATAAAACTTTGGTCAATCATCTTACGTATGTACTGTAAATGCAATTACTTTGTGTGCAGAGGGAAAAGCTTCAATACAGTATGTTTTTTTATTTGTCTTTACATTCAATATAACTAAAAATAAAATCTCTGCAATTAAAAAAAATAGTAAATTCATATTGCGACTGTCAATATTTGTTCACATGTGTGCCTTTTTTATCTGTTTCTGAATAAAGAACAAATCATCCACCTTTCTAACTATACAGTCAGTGGCACCATATTTGAAGGTAAATGGCTATAAATGGTATTGAGAGTTATCAGACTATGTTGACTATATTTAAGTACCCCAAGAAATACACAATAAATATTAATATATTCCAGCTATTGTCCAAAGACTGACCACTAAGAAAAGGCCAACATATTCGGTCAATATAAACAAAGCAACAGGAGTCATTGTCTATAAATGCTATGGGTGGAAAAAAGATTTCAAAACATCTTGATGAACTGTCCATTCCTGTTAGGTTGATTTCGGTAGCTTCATAAGAATCTACCAGTCTCTTTTACAAGTTGCAATTACAACATTAAATAATTTTATTTTTGATCATTTCTAAAAAGTGTATATAATACAACACTCAAAGCCAAGAATGCTCATTCTGGGTTTCATGAAGCACAGCCAAAGCATGTGAAAGTTAGTAATCACAACTATGGATCACTGATCACTGTAATTCATACTCATCTCAGAGCATTATCATTAATAAAAAACATAATAGAATGAACATAAAAACTATTACTAGACAATCTTTTTTTTACAATTTTTGGTCTCCAATACACATTATGTTTACTTTGTTAAAGTGCCTAAAGCCACTTTTTCTCCATCTTTTATGTTTAAAGGCAGAATAATGAGAATAGAAACCAATACCTTTTGACTTGTAACAAATTAAAAGGAATGCTATTGCATTACTGAAGAAATAACCAATGTTAGATATCACTGATCTTAAAAGGCATAAAAGATTTTTTTCAAATCATAGTACACAACAGTGACATTATCCAAATGTACTTTAAATACAATTTTGTGAATTTCCTAACTCTAAAAGGTGGTGAATAATATAGAATGTAAAGCATTAGGTTACTACTCTTAAATGACAGTGGCAGCAATATTTAGCATTGTGTTTTTGCACATTAAGCTACACGTGACACATGACAGCTCCCTTTGTCAAAATGCCCAGTGTAACATTATCAGACCTCCAGTGAAGAAAACACAGTACCTTCAACAATAAATGAGACTTTTACCACTGGATAAACTGTGTGTACATGTATGTTGTTGCAAAGCCCCTTGGTATCCTAAGGAACAAGCTTAGGCACTGAGAAGATTTGTGGAACAATCTGCCTTGTTGGTTAAGCCATTATAATCAAACTAAACCTACAGTACATCCATTACAAGCCTTGTTGATGAAGCAAGGACAGTTATAGCCTATAGTTACAGTATGGAGAGGCTGGCAGGTTTATGATTAAGATCATACTTTTATCAGAATTTTCATATTACTCACAAATCCTTTACTAATGCTACTTATTTTATTATAGGTAGAAATTATATTATAGTTTATTATATTATGGTAGAAAGTTAATATCAATCGGCTTGCCATGCTCGTTTTTAAAAGTTAGAGTTAAGGCAATGAATGGAATAATTCAATTTGTTATTTCAGCAAATAGCACCTCTACGTTATTAATTTGATCTTGTCCTTGCAATTTCGACTAGTTTGTTGTTCCTTGCTCAGTAATCATCCACAAAATTCAGAAACATATGACATAAACATAATAATTTGATACTTTGTGTACATTATTAATGTCATCAAGATTAAAGGTACTTTTGTATATAAGATAAATTCTTGTTCATTTGGATTGTGAAGAAACAAGAACACTTATCACACAAAAAGTTAAACTGAAGTGGAGCATGGCTTTATATATAAGGGCCTTAGTATTCTGCTAATTCACTTTTTAGTTTTTCAATATCTGGTCACTAAACAAATGTAGCATTAAGGGATTTAGAACTCATATCAATATGTAATGAAATTCTTTCATGGTAATGGTTACGTAAGATGTGTTGTTGCTTCTGATGACACATTATAAAATATCCTCATTGGTATAGTTACTGCATAGAAACAACAGACATTCAATTTCCAGTGTCTACAAAACAACCACAATCCAAACCACTGGTGCTCACCAACATATACAGAAAGTATGCTAGCTTTAGAGCTTAATCAATTTAGCAGAGAACACGTACTGGTGTTTTTACACAGCATTTAACTTATAATGTCAGAAGGAAAGTTTGAAAAAGGTCCCGTATATAATATAAAAACAACATTATAAATTCCCTAAGAAAAGAATTTTTAAAATCAAATAAGAACACGTATGAAAAAAGTCACTATCATGTTGTTATGAAGCTGAACGAATCAATTTCTGACGACTATTACTGTATTCTGACTATTATTGCTAAAACTGCCTGTATCACTCTGTTTTGAAAGAGTAGAGGTGTTAACCTCTGTGTCCTACAGTATATAAGTCCAGTATAGGCTTATATAATCTAGCCTTCCAAATATTCCACCTTACTTCAGCCATTCTCACTTCTCTGCCTGATGTGTTGTGTAGTGGTGCTGCTGAGACACAATGGCTCTTAGTCTTCACCCAGGTGGGTGCCATAGTTCAGAACTAGATAGAGTAGGTATTCTCCTGTGTGTAAAATGTTTTGGGATCCTTAGGAATGAAAAGCACTATATAAATTTAAGGAATGATTAAAACTTCACTGAAAACAGCTTGCTCTTTTGCAGGTCAACCACATCCATTTTTATGTAGCCTAGGACAACACTTATTTCTTATATAAACCATTTCCATGCTCAAAATACAGATATAACATCTTTTACAGATATAATAAAGTGAGATTTTTAGAAGAAACATCTTGTGTTCATCCCACACATAAACGCCATCTCCGATACACTTGTCTTTATCTGTCTTTACATCATTCATGCAAAAAATATATTTATATATACGGATATATCAGGTGAAAGAAAAGGAAACACCACAACTATCACACACACAGATAAGCAAAGGGTTTTAGTCTCAAACCGCATTTCACCCCACAATATGAAGAAACGTTGTAAGTAAAAAAAAAAGTTAAAATATTAAATACTTAATAAGACAAAGCAGCACTGGACTTGATTTAGGCACACTTTCGTTTTGTACACCATGAACAACAGCCCTGAAAAACCACAAGATTTACAGAGAAACAAAGGCAGCCATTACAAGCACAGACATGAACGGGTAAACAAGTTGGACAGTACATTTTGACACTGCATAGAAAAAACACAGTCCAGGTCAGCACTGAAACACTGCAGAATTGCACAGAAAACATTTCTCTTTTATTTTTATGTTCTTTCGGTCTGGTGTTTTATTTGGCTAAGACGCTTCACTGTACCGCTCTAAGGTTAGTTTGCCTGGACTTGTTTCGGTCCTACTGCAACGCCATTACAGTCGAGAATGTACTGTAAACAACCTTGGGGAGGGGGCCGCTGAGGTGGAACTTTGCTGCTGTCTGTCAGACCTTCCTTTACCGAGCCGCTCTGAAAGAAACAAAGACATTGGTAGGCCAGCCATAAGGACTCCAAATATTGCCTTTTGCCATCAGTCATCCTCAGAACCACAGACAAAGAGTACACTGCTGGTCTACCTTAAAATGTTATTTTATACTAGCTTGTTACCTAAGTAACCTTAAAGTAAAGTGTATCATAAACACTGACCTGGTGAACTATTATCTACTAACATCTAGTAGTTTTACAGACTACAGATAGGACTTCCTAATTATATTTTAGTAAACAAATCTTGTACTGTACGTCTTGGACTGCGAAACCAGCCTTATTATTATACTGTAACATGCACACAACATCATTTCACACATGGATTTCAATCTTAAACTTAAAAAAGGAAAAAGGACAGAGACGTTTTATTTTCAGAAACGGTAGATTCGCAAATGGAGATCAATCCAGTCTTGACTGACTGCTGTACACAGAAAATGTTATGGGCAAAGGGGAAGGGCGTGGTTAAAAGCTATAAAAAAAATCAATGGATTTCTTACTCTTGTGATAAAAAAGATGGAATGTATGATTGTGAGGGTTGAAATATGGTGACCGATAAAAAGAGCAATGCACGCAGTGAATAAAACAGAAAATGTAATTTAGCTTCACCTTCAAACCTAATATTTTGGATTTGATGGCTGTAATAAATGGTAGTTCTTTTCATTCCCCAGAAGATGGAGCACTAAACACAGGCGTACAATGTACAAATGCAACCCAGAATGTCCTTTTTTAATGGTGGTGACATATTTAATTATTATATTCTAACAGAGCTTTGCTTGCTGTTAGATGTTGCTGCAAGATGTTGTGTAACAAAATCAGTTGATACCTGCATTTATATTGTACATATACATTTCTATCTTCATTTGTTGTTGGGCTTTTAGTTGAATATTTCCCTTGAATATATTTATCTTTACGTGCACCAAAAAGATTTGTTTTGATTTGAAAAATATTGGAATCGCCAGTAAAGACTTGTCTCCATTAACAGCTCCTTTTTGTTCTTGGGACAGGATGAGACACATGGACATTTCCGGCATATGGCACATTGCAAGCTCTACATAACCTGACCTAGAATTGGCATTGAGTGGAGGAGTGGCAATTTCTCTAAGTGACTTCACTGCAAGCCCAGTCAGATGAGTTGCTGCTTGCCAGAAAGCCAAGACAGCCCCAGGTGACGAATAAGATTACTATTACTGCTGCTACAAGTCTACTCCTCGGTGCACAACCGGGGATCCGTTAACGTCAATCATACTTGGTTTATAGTTCAAGTAGGCAGATGCGTCAGCATGCGTAGGCTGCAAAGGAACAAGTGTTTGTGGCAAGGGTTTGTGACATGACCAGTGCTTCAACTAGCAAGGTCTGGATCACGGAACTCAGTTTATGATCTGATCGAGCAGGGTTCCTGTACTGTATGTGCCAGTGGGAACCCCCTGTTTTCAATCTCTGTTCAATATAAAAAGAGATTTCTTTACCTGCGGTGGCTGGATGGTGGTGGGTCTCTGAGATGAAGGAGTAGGTGTCCTCGGTACCACCTGATTCATTTTGGTCATGACCATGTCAGCAATGAGCTGCCTGTCTTCGGCTTGATGCTCCCCAATCAGTGGCATTGAAGAACCCACTACCTACATTATGCAAACAAGAAAACAAGAGCTTCACAGGGGACAGAATCCCAGGCTGAGCTGTGCAATTGATCTGGAAGACTTAGCACATCTCTCAGTTGGCAGACTAACATATCCAAGCATCAGACACACATCAAAGTATATTGCATGTACAGTAAATCAAGTTAAATTTGCTTTCAGAAACCGAGAAGCCAATGGGCCTTTTTTCTGTCCTGCAGCTCACAGAACACTAAATTCTGCTGCTCTCTCTAAATATATTTTTATGGTACAGTAAGAGCTTTAAAAATAGTAGGCCGAAGAAAGAATTATAGTATATAACCTATGTTTATGCATTCAGTCAAACCACTGCTGTATACTAATTAAACCTCACACTGTAAATATTGTCCAACCTGTATATTTATGGTTAATTTTTTCAATAAATCATACAAATATTTAATAATAAAATAAAAACACTGGAATACAAAAAAAAATGATTCGCTAAGTTTTGGCTAAGGAGTCCTGATCTTTTCAACGGCTTGTCACCAGCCTGGCCAGACATTCCCAGTCTGCCCACTGCACTAAGGCAGGATGGGAGAAGCTGAATCCTTGGGAAAATATCCCAGACAGCACTGCATTGAGCAAAGCATGAAGCAACATGAGGAAAAGAATCTTGAATCTTCACAGCTTGAGAGAAACAATTACCCTGTCTGACAAAATTCATTAATCCAGCACTACAAATTCAAGTCTTGATTTTGTGTTAAAATGAAGCTTAGAATGATTTTTGGAGAAAGTAAAGGCAATTTTAATACATTTCCATGTGTAAGTGACTGTTTCGTTTCTTATTTTGATTTGGTTTCCAAGCACATAATTAGCTTTTCCAACTTCTTAGCATACAAAATAGACAAATAAAATAATTGTGCTTTTAGACTCTGAAAAACTTATGTTCAGATCATTTTAGGTATAAATCATATACTGTAGCTCTACTGTAAAATAAATAAAAAATGTTTAAAGAAACTAGAAAACGCTTTGACAATCTCTGACTAGAGTGAAATTAAGTCAAACTTTTTTGTCAAGCATTTGTTTAAAATAGTATACTTAATCAAATTATTAATCTCTTATTATTGTAGAACATACTAATAGACTCTACAATGACGAACATGGAAAATCTCTTGTATTACAAACAGCGGTTTAATGATCAATTCATCATAAACTGTTTTTAAAAAGACAAGTTTTGTTATGTTTTATGTTTTCAAAATGCCCTACATCAAATAGAACTAATTTTGTCAGTTGCACAGCCACTATACCATCTCACATGTAATTAAATGATCTCAATCTATCTTTTTTATGTCTACAAAAATGCATTCAACACCACATTAGTATGTTCATTATCTTATGGGGTATAAAATAGCATAATAACTCTTTAATTTGTGCACTTGGTTTTGCAAAAGTATACAGAAATTCTTAAACTCTCCACAAAAGTGAAAACAGAGCAGCACTGTGGTGAATATTTCCCCTTAACTCTTCTCTTTTAGTCAGTCTTAAGTAAAAAGCAACACTTAAGAGACTTTGGCTCTTCTAGATATCCCTGCACTCACGGTCATGCCTTTCTCGCGTTGAACAAGGCTGTAACTGCCTTATATATCAGAAGCCGACATTTTCTGCTTTGTTCTCTCACTTTTACCTATGAAATTTCCAAGGTGTCTCCGGGACATACCTCACATACCTGACACAAACCTTGTATGTGTAAAAAAACAGAGCAGGCCAGCAATCACTAATCTCATGTACACAAACATACACTGACCTATTCCTCCTTTTGACATTTTTGAGATACAACCCTTTGCTGAATGTCTTAAATTATGACTTGGAGCCATTAGGATCTGTCCATTCGTGTATTTTTCCAATGATATTTTCATCTTCTTTGTGAGATAACTGCAAGTCGCCTTGCATGGATTCTGGGGTAACATTAAGTAATTTCCAGGCAATGATGCTGGAATGAAATTAATTGAATGGAATTGCCTTTAGCCAGCAGGAGAATTACTGATGACCAACATCCACATCCCCATATTGTCCAGCAGCAGGGAGGGCAGAGATGTTACAGAAAGGCCTGTCTCTGCTTTTCCTCTCCCTCTGTGCTAATATTTTACTACAGTACAGAAATCTGCGAAGTTTTTTTATTTTCTTTTAACTAAGTTTAGAAAAGATTAAACTAAAATGAAGTCTTTTATGTTATTTTCAAACTGCCAAATGTAAACGTACTTTTACAGTATAAGCTGTCCATGAGGTCTTTATATAAGCTACATTTTAATTAATTTCTTTTTTGCTGTCTATATAAGCAAGCTCTCCCAGTGTATTTTGGAGTTAGATGTTTGCCTCTTCAGTATGTTTTAGTTCTCTTGTCAAAGAGAAAGTTCTCTTGTCATACCAAGAAATGTTACTGGTTTTGTCTATTGCAACTGTAAAGACTTTTGGGGGGTATAGTACAAGTGATGTTAACATAAGCTAGTACATACTTGATTAATCATAAACACAAATATAGTATTGGTGTGAGACAAAGCTTAAAATAAACAATATCTGTCTCTCCACGCATGGGCGGCTGTATCTCATTATGATTGAGATAAATGAGATAATTGAGATAAATGGTAAGACCTGTACAGCCTAATTGAATACAATTTCAAACATGATTGGGAATAAACACCAACAAGACATGGCAGCTGCTAGGGTCTCAGTTGATTTGAGTGCAGGTGGCTGGAACTAACTCTAAATTGTTCACTTATTAAAAATCAGGCAGCAAAGTTCCTATTCAATCATTCAACAGAAGTACTCTGTTTCGTATAGGTGACATTGTTTTCTTTAATCCAAGAACTGACACATTTTTTGTCTTGAGAAAACATTTTTCACCTGAAAAATTTACAGAATACCAAGTAAATACTGTAGTAGCATATCATTTAACAGTGCTAAAACCAAAAAACGGTTATGATGTGCCAAAGTAATATATTTCTTAGTGGCAAACTGCCTGTGTGTAGTGTAAACATTCCCATTTGGTTTTGAAAAAACAGTTTCCATGGCAACCTGAGGTAGCCACTCAATCTCAATGCTCTATCTGGAGAGGATACAGCAAAAAGTTAACTATTTCCATAGCAACAGACAGTACTGTTATAAGTAATACCCAAAAAATCTAATCATTAAACACTGAATCTCTCACTACAATGCTGGAAAATCATTACAGCAATGTGTAAAATGTAAAATGTTTAACTATGGGGATGTGCTGTATAACTCTCTACAAATTCATCATTAGATAAGCTCATAATTAACATGTTATGTCATTTATTTTTTGACTTTCTAATCCATTTTTTTATTAATGCATTCATTGTATTCACCTTTTTATACCAGAAATATCTGTATTGTTGTAGAGTCAGTGGTGATTTTCAGTTTAAATATTTGCTTCTAATTAACATTAGTTAATATTTTGCTTTGAACAGAGTCAAAAAATGTTTTTAAAACAATTGTTTTCAGGATCAGAGATGTATGGCTGGAAGACATTTTCTGTTAAAAATGATTAACATTAACATTAATTAATGAGTACCATTCAAAGCGTGCATTTGTTTTTTCTGTGTGCATGAATGTTGAAGAGTCACAACAGAACACTTGAAAAAGTATATTGCCTACTGGCTACAAATATCAATGCAAATATTATTTATTTTATTACATGACATTAACAAGGGGCCACTTGCTATTAATGTTTTTTTTCCCTCTTCAGTCTTTCTCTGCAGTATCCTAAAATATATCTGAGCACAATCTTTCACCTTTTACAGTCAGTCTATTTCCAACAGGACTGATCTGATGGCATGTGGATTGTTTTCTCAGGTGAAGCACAAAATGAGTATATTTACAAGGAAAAAGAAGAAAACCATTCCTCAGAAACAGTAAGGCACAAATGCATGGAATAGCTCTTACATCATTGATAGAGTTCTGTTCACATAAGTACGTACATGTGCATAAAAATAATAACTTCAAACACAAAGCAATACTCAAAGTAATATCCAGGCTTCAGCTCCTGTTTGTTCAGATCTCCATGCTGATTTTTAGTTTGCATTGTATCAACTGTTGTGAACCTTTAAACTATACAAGGAAGCCTCCAACAATAATTTGATCTCTCTGTAAATAATGTTATGCAGTCTTTTCAGATTATGGGTGTTAATGTTTAATATAACCTCTTTGCGTATTTCTAATCTCTGTTATTCGAGTAAATATCTGTGTTCAAGTGCCACAGTAGAATACAGGTCTTTTAATGTTTTGATTATGACCTGGAGGTTATTTGTTGCAATAGATTGTAACTTTCTGATGGGAAAATTACAGATAAAAATCCTGACCCATAAATGCCTATAGAACCAATATGTTTTAAAATCTAAGAGTTTTAGTGAAAGACACAGAGCCTGGTGAGTAAGGTGCTATTTATTCTATTTTCCTTTGCAGCTCTGAGGAAAAGAAAGTATAGAAGGAAAGTTAAAGGCTTCATCGGAGTTATGTATAACCATTCATTAATATAAATGTTGCAATTTTAGATCATAGGGGCCCATTACATTCTTATTCTGCTTTTATTATTTGGTGTAAATGGAGATTAACAAAATGATTTAATAACCCATTAGCTTTTTTCCACTACAATGCTCAATAGTTAGAAATGAAGCCCACTGACATCTATTCTCACAATGCAATATTAAGGAGAAAAATGTCTTCACAGACTGCATTATCAGGCCCCATTATGGTAATAAAGGTCAGTTAGATTTTCATCTGTTTCTTTGTTCTAAGCTTATCTTCGGTTCAGTTCTTTCTTTGTGGAATGTAACTTAATCATCCCATGAATTTTTATTGTCTTATTTACATGAACTTAGCCATTGCAAGAATTTGGAATGGAATGGGAGCAATGGCAAAGTGCACACCGAAGTACACAAAATATTAACCAGGCCCACAATCTCAATCTCAACATCAATCTCATTTCACACCACGCAGTGTTGTAGATCTGCATTCCCTATTCGTTACCTGTCTCATTTTTTTAACCAAAGCAAAAAATTAAAGTGTCAAAATGTTGCAGTTTGGGGCATTACGCATTAGGTAAACGATTTCACTTTATGCTCCATTTAATGAAGGACACTAGCAAATGAGTATGTACCTTATACCCTTATAACTTTATGTGGATCTACTGAAACATCTAGAACCTACATAGAACCATCGATAAACTGTATAAATATTCATTAACTTTGGATTTATCAATATTTGAGCAGACAGGGTAATTTTAATGAACTGGGGGGGGAGGCGGCTGTGGTTAATGCCTAGTAAAATCTGTATAATCGGTTAACCAGATTCTCAAACATCCACAGGACCTCAGATTGACAGGTTTGCAGGTCCTTCAGGAGTGCAAGCTCATTAAAGGTATTGCTAATAGAGAACCCCTGAAGCTATGATTAGGGTAAGAAAATGGTGGTGTTTTTCTGCTGCCTCAACCTGCTAATAAGTAAGGAAAAATGTTTCTAGCCGGGTGTATGTAGATAGCAATTTTACTGTCTGACATTAAAATACAATTGAGAACATACTTTCCCAAATAAAAACCAAGTTTTCGTTATTTTTTGCTGAATTAAATATGTAAATTTAAATTTGTCCACGAAAGATGGTGGTCATTCCCAAAACACTAGAGTTTTCTCCTCCGGATATTCTAGGTTATAATGTGTGCTGGAAATGCTCTTGGCTAAAGCGTGCTTTATTGTGTGCTTAAAAAATAAAAACAAATACCAACAAAAGGTCCCTGTGCATGTCCAATAAGTTGCCAGGAAATTTAGTTTTGATTACACATATGCTGGCCTTCCATTGTGGAGAAATGCTAGACTATCACAGATTGTCCTAGGGGGATTACAGTACGTTACTAAAACAGTCTCAAGGCTTTACATGTTTTTTTCAATAACAGCCATATATGGAACTTGAGTTCTTCTACAGTGAATGACTCTTTAAGTTCATATCACAGCCATAACAGTATAGTGTAACGAATGCGCCCCTGCACATAGCAGGGCTATTGGGCTGAGGAAGGTCTTTTTTAGCTCAGCCGGCAAGACCCCTGGTGAGAGACACCGGAGACCTGGGTTCGAGGCCATAGGGTGAGGGACGAACTGGTGTGGCGAGGGCACGAGCCCCAAGAACACGAATTTGTTACAATAAATTGCTTTTTAGTTTAATTAATATTTGAAAGATTCCAATATTGAGTTTTCCCACTGAGCTTTCAGGCTTTTTCACTGATGAATTTGGATGCTCTTATTCCATATAGCCCAGGCAGGCATCTTAGTTGGACTAGTTTTGCATGTGGAAAAGAAACAAATGTGATAAACAAAGCTAAACAAAAACAAAAAAACAAAACAAAAAAAAACAGTTAAAGTGTCATTTACACTTGTACACTATGTATATGATTTTCCGTAGAGCTGCTTGTATGATACAGTTGAAATTTGTTTCTTTTTAAAAGCTTCAAAAATTCAAGCTCTGAGCTTGAAATCCAAATTTGAACCACTGTAATTGCATAATCCAAACCAACATCCAGCACAAGACACCGAAAGACCAGTCCCTTAATGTAGGGAATTGAAGCGTTTTAGAGAGATAACTAGGGAAATGACATAATTGTAGCAGGCCCCTTATAAAATTTCAAGCCCTGTTACACAAGTAACTCATTGTTAGTCTGAAAGCCTCTGTTTGAAAAATCTCTCTCCCAGACTGCTGTATATGCATTACAATCTTGGATCTTAAAGCCTTAAGTGATCAGTTTTGAATTTAGCTCCATCATATTAAGCAGTATAACAAAAAACCAAACAAACAAAAAAACAATTAAGCTGCAAATAAAGCTGTTTTGTCAAGTGAAAATTGTTTCTACCTCTATGAAGAAGAAGCAGAGGAATGTCATCTTGCAGTCATTTTATAAATACAAAAATGCAATATATGGAACCATTTCTGCAAGTGACTTCTTTAGGGGAAATTGTTTTCCTACAGGTATTATTGTCACAAAGTGTGATGTACAAGTAGAAATATTTGGTGTAAACGATGATGTGCATTTCTTGTCTGTATAAAATGGAACCTTTATTTAGAATTTTCAGGATCTATTGTATTTACATACAACTACACTCATGTGGTCTTTATTACTACTACAACAATACAGTTTCGTGAACATTCTATTAATTTTCCCCCCATACCTCAGTGATGTAATCCTTTCCATCCTTGCCATGAAGAGCTTTAACTGCACAGATATCTAAGCCACCAAAAATCTCAGAGCAGGTATCCACCCACAGCCTATACCTGTTGAATGAAAGAAAATAACATTTACTCCTGAAAACAATTATACAGTAAGTATAAAACTAACACATATTGTATCAATGTTTTACTTATTGGAGGTCAAGAAGACTTTCACACAAGTCAACCCAATGGTCATGCACGTTATTGTGCTTGTGATATGGTACAGTACATGGCCTTGTGCTATGCTGAGAATATCTGTATGTACCACCATAGCACTAGATGTGTTTGAATAGAATCAGGCATTCAGATAAGCCTTGAGATATTGTTTCATGACAAAACGTATTCTGATTCTTGATTATTTAATCATTAAATTATACATTTGTTTGGCTTTGGTTCTGACTTTTGAATATAGCAGAGGAAGCTTGAATTTAATTTAGGAAGTCAAAGGACTTATTGCTCCCATATTTCTGTTCCTGATTTTGTTTTTTGATTTGATCTTTTTTGAAAAGATGCTAAAACCAGACCTTGACCCAAGGTCAATCTTTAAAATAAAGCAGTTTAAAATCCTTCCCGGCTACTTAATCTAGAAGTTTTCAAATTAGTATTAAACTTTTATTAAACGTTAATTATGGTAGCTGGCTCTAATTAGCAAAGTAATGTCCTAATGTTAGTACTAATTTGCACCAAAATAACCCAACTGGGAGGTAATGATAAAATACATCTACTTGTCTAAATAGCTGCAGTTTTATAAAAACCCATTTACAGGAACTCAGTGTGTTTCTGTTAAGTTCAAGGCAGTTTGGAGACTTTTGCTGAAGAAAAAACAGACTCTCATTAGTTTATCTTACATTGCTTCATCTTGCTCACAATTTTCTCCTATTCTTTTAGAAACATACAGGTTAATAACTTCAAGAACAGGCACAACTGGTGTACCATCTGGATGTACTAGAAAATGTACTAGATCTCAGTCCTGGGTTTCGGTCTGCTGATTATCAAAAGGTTCTTTTATTTTACCAGGTGCTGACAACATCTCACAAAAAATATTCCATATTTTCTTCTCCATTTAAACACCTCAGGGTGAAGCCAGGATGTTTCTTAATATGCAATTCAATTCACATTATCAACCAGTTGTTTCGTACAAAGGTGATTCAATACATAAAGTAACAAAAGGTCCCGTTATTTATTAGCACACTGTTCTTGGTATAACCAATACAAAGGCCATGGTCATTCTTCCACATTGAGACCAATGTCCTGATTAGGGATATTTCCTTCCATGTCACCAAAACATCAAATCTATTTGAAATTCCTGTCAAGCTTATGTAACCCAGAGACCACTGCACCATCTGCCAGCCAGTTCAGACCTGTCAGGACGGAGGTCTAGCACCTCACTACTGTAACACCACAAGTGATCATAGGCGCAGTTGCCAGTATGCAGCTGGGCATCATCACACAACATGATGACACCCTGTTGCTGCAGGATGGTTGTGACAAACGGCCTTCCAAGACTGGTTTAGCAAGAGAAACCAGCTTTCAGGGTGCACAAGGCCCACGATCTTTATGTTGATAACGCATGTAACCATGGGCCAAGATAGCACAAGAGGTCTTGCAGATACCATATTCATTGAAATGCCCTCGCAACTGAATTAACTAAGATCAGAATTAAGCAGTAGAGTTTATGCTAATAAACTCATTATACAGTATACTGTATGTATTCAGTTAGTTTACCTCCAGCACTGTAGTACTCACTTGTCAGTCATGGCAACTTGCTCCAGCATGGCTGAGCCAGTGTTTGTCTTCCAGTTGCCAGAGATAGAAGTTCTCCTGTTGAAGGATCATACAAGTACTAATATAAACAAATGCAAAGTCAGCAGACAGCACAAATACACTATATTTTCATATGGAGCGTGTAGGCAACTGGCACCATCTACAGCAAAGCATCTTAAATTGCCCCCCGGGGGGTGAATACGGTTATTTTGTATTTTAGTTAGCTATAGTACTTCCAGCAAATCACAGTTGTGTTGATGCTGAACACTGACAGAAGAAGTGATTAACGCCTCGTCGTCATTTTAATATTGGAAAAAAAGTGAAGAAAGTGAGGCGGATCACACAAATAATGGACCCCTAATATAAAGACCTATTGATTTATTGTGACATCTGAAGCTAACTCAACTGCACCAGAAAAATATGAACTCCCTAATGGTACTGTATGTCTTCTCACTGTGTCAATCAAACCATGACAGTCACACATGGGAGAACAGCATTTTACTTATGGCAGCTGTAATTCTTGTGCAAAAACATGAACAATTAAATGAAAGGAGAAAGAGTATTTAATTACTGCTTCACTTTATTTCAATTAAGGATATAAAAGAGGCCGTGAAATACACATGTATGCTTAGTGGATTACTTAACATGAATATTGACTTAACAATCGGCTGTTCAACAATCTATAGTGTGACTTTGGAAACGAAGGTCATTTTTTGGGATTGTACAGTGAGAATTGTGATTTAATGTTTAAATGTTATTTTATTTTATTTTGATAGAAACATAAACTAATATTGACTTATTAAACTAATTAAAGATCATTCTTAATATGCATGAAACCAGATTTTAGACTTATGGCTTAAATCTAAACACTAACTGACCTACTGTACCTATTATATTGAAATATTCTTATATTCTAAAAGGTCTGCTTTTATGTGGTTTCAAAACCTGCCGCAGTGACATTTTATATTAAGTCACAGAAAAATGTTCGTGTCATAATAGAATTAACTGTTGTAATTTCCTAAATGTCCCTTGGGAGAATTACAGCTACATTTTTTTAGATTAGATTCTAAACCTCTCCCCTCCTTTGGCTGGGATTCATTTCAATGGAATGTTTAATGTTCAGGAGGGATGACTACAGCTAGGGTCTCCCTGATTTCTGGTACTCTAACTCATAATTCTCCATGACATCACTTCCTGAAAAACTATAAACACCATAGTAAGCTTATGTAAGTCTCCTCCACCCCATCTCCGCCCCTGACTTTCTCGTCCCAAAGCCAGATGGTTGGCCCTCAGCCAAGGGGGTAAAGCAAAAGCTCCGTATTCCAAAAGTAATGTACTGTAGATGAAGACATGGAGCAGAAAACCATTTTTGCAGTTACTGTTTTAACTACAAGCCATTGTGACTCATGGTGGCAAAAAAAACAGGCTTCTCTATCTTTTTTTTAGAAGGCTGTCAGTGTGTATTCAGACTTTTTCCTGCCCATTAAACTTTTATGATTCTCCAAACGTATTTGTCATTGTCATTGGAAAAGCTGCATTCCAAAGCTATGTTGTATCAGGTCTTCACCAAAGTAATTGTGCATGTGACATGTTTATTAGCAGACCATTTGCATTACAGCTGTTCACTGCATGAGTCAGAATTGCAAGCAAATTACAGGTACCCTCCTTAGGTCCTTCCAGAATGCATTTCCAATGTACAAAGAAAACATCCACACTACGAAAAGGCACCCGACAATCTTTCAATCACAGGATATTTTTACTTTTATACTATTTTTTAAACTTGACTAGCCAAGTTGCTGTGCCGCTAGTAGTTTTGTGAGCTACAATAATAATAAACTTTATTTTACACAGCACCTCTAAAAGTGGCTTCTGAATGTGCTTTACAGTAAGAAAAGAAAGTACGTAAGGAGAGCAAATAGCAGAATCAACACAATTACAATAAGGGTTTGGAATGCAGTAGGAATGTAAAGCAGAACCTATTAAATAAAAGCCCTTCTAAAGAAGAAGGTTTTGAGTCTTGATGTGAATTTGCTCAGCGAAGGTTACTCTCTGATAGCATTAGGGATAGAATTCCCAAACTCTGGGGCATGGCATGAGAAGGCCACAAAGCTCATAACAAATGATAACAATCAAAGGTCATAACAATCATCACACCAATCTGAAAATTAAAAGAAAATCATCTATCCACTTTCAGTCCACTATACTACTTGAGGGTAGGATAATAACGCAAAAGAATATGCATTTTATATACCGCCACATGAACATTTATAAACATTTATTTAATGCCACAAGTTAAAATACAGGGTCCCCAAGGGGCTCCTTCATTATGTGAAGGTCAAGTCCGGACTCACAATTTCACAATTAGCTAAAAATCCCAGGGTGTTTTTTAAAAAAGAGTAGGAGGTTACCCAAGTGTCCTGGAAAATTTCCCATTGGCTTTTACCGATCATGTCCTCCAAATAATGCCCATATCAAAACTGGCTTCATCACTCTGTTCTCCTCCCCACCGAGAGCTGGTGTGTGGGGATTGGACTGACACACTATGGCTGCTGCTGCATCATCCAGGTGGGGCTGCACACTGGTGGTGGTGGAGGGGAGTCCCCATTATCCATAAAGCGCTTTGAGTGGAGTGTCCAGAAAAGTGCTATATAAGTGCAAAGTATTATTATTATTAGGAGTAGGGTTTAGTAGGGCTATCTCGGCTGTCAGTGGCACAGCGCCCCCTGTGGTCTGCTTGTAGGCATGCAGTGCTGCTGAAGAGGATCATGCCTCTTCTCCAAATGGCAATGCACCTGTGGCACGGGACTGGGACAAGCTGAAAGACAAGTGGCTTAAAGTGGGGCTGGGGTCTGTCTACAGTCTGTAGCTTCGGGCGAAGGCATGAAAAACACACCACTGGCTATTTCACATCGGAAGGATACCACACAAAAATAACCGGCAAGTCTACATTTAAAAAAAGTTAAAACATGGAAATACTTACATGTAAGCTTTGTAATTATTGCCTATCTTTTGAATCCTGATGTCATACTTGGAGTCAATGAAGGGCTCTGTGGTAGCGTAGGTCTGTGTGAGTGCGACCACACTGGCAATGTCTTGGAAGTCATAGTGATTGTCTACCTTCACCTTTAGATGATCGGGAATGAAAAAGACACAGAAGAAGGAGTCAATGTTATAAGCCAGCTGCTCTCCAGTAGAGCTCAGTGTGCAATACGTAACTAGATAGACACATGATACGCTAATCACACTCTGAAAATGACTAGCAAAAGCTTAAGGATGGCAGAGATAAATGTTCCAAATTCTTTGTTGTGTCTGTTTTAGTATTGGTAATTGGCAGGAGACAAAGGAGAGAGCAGGCCTTACCTTGCCCATGCCTGAATGAGCGTGCCCAATCTTCACAACAACAGGGAATGTAGGCATGGCAATCTGAAAGATAAAGATGTCAAAACACTTGAAAACACCTGACCTCAAAATGCCTGAAAGGAAAAAAAAACTGACATTTTATTTATGTACGTCTGCGACCAGCATAATCCTGTACAAACAAAGAGATTTTCCAAAGAAATGGGTTTATATCAGACAACACCCAAAATGAAGAGGGAAGTGTCATTTGTTTTATATTTTATCAAGATTGATATATATTGAGGACTTATAATAACTATCACACCTTTACTTTTGGTGGATTCTAGAATGGGTAGTATTATTCTAAGGAAATGACTTTTATTATAACTACTGTTATGAGTGTATGAGTGGCTGAGACTAATGCTAACACCTGCTGTTATAAAGGTGAGCCTATATGAAATTCCTTTTCACAGCTGTGTGGACCCTTACATCAGAAGGCAGGGGAAACTATAACTTGGTCTTTGGTTGAACAAGTGTTAATTTGCCTTAAAAGTGAAAATAAGATGATGAGGAGATTTCATTACATTCAGGTTGCCAATCTGTTAAGCTTGTAGGCATGGGGGTTAGTGCACCTGAATGCTCTGATGGACTATCATCTAGTCCAATGCATACTCGCTCCTTAAAACCTGTGCTTCCAGGTTTCTCTAATCTGTGCTGGAAATAACCAGCATTCTGATAATAGATGGTTGCATGTCTTATTTTTGAATTTCCCTCTCACATCTGCAGTTCTTTTACTTAATTTTCACCTATTTTCAGCAATGCTATTTTAAAGCATTAAGCCAATCTCATTTTTAATATGACATTACAAAGACATTTGGAACTTACTTCCATGCAAGTTCCCCATTATAACCACTAGGGGGAATAAACTATTTTCAGTGACATGTCTTGGTATTTGTATTGGTATAATAAACTAATCTGCACAATTATGACAAAGCCATTTTCTTCCAGACCTAATGATATTATTTCCTTCAGCCCCCAAGGGTAATGGTGGAATTATGGTGTGATTAATTTCTGTTCTAACAGGTTTATTAACCCTCTTTCAAATGTATTTACAAATCTTAAGGATCACCTCAAAAAGAGCAAGATGCAAGCAGAATAAAATTCTGCACAATTTCATAAATAAAACAAATTAAATAATCAGTCTAACCATGTCTCATCTACATATCCCTCCTGTTTCCGAGAATATCTATTTCTTAGACTCTTAGACACCATTCGAGTAGATGCCCTGGGGTTTTGATTACTTTTATAAATGCTCTTATGTACATTTGGATAAAATGTATGCATTATAATTTATACATTTATGTAAAAGTGTGCATTAGGGCCTTGGAGAATGCATTGCAAAAATGTAGAAAGTATTTAATATTTTAAATCAGCCTGACTTGAAAACAAAATAGCCTTATGATAGTGCAACCATACAGATTTTCTTTCATTGTTTTACTAGTTTGATAGCATTAAGACACTGATAGAGCTTGGGTTTAGCTATCCTCTGAGATTAATCAGCACATGCCTGCTAATTGAAATGAAAGTAAACAACTGGTGCAAATGACAGGGATACATTAAGTGGTTCATTTTGCAGGGCATTTATGAGATTACCATCTATGGAAGCTTTCATGCACCTTGGTGCCTCTCGTCTTGGTAATTTAAACATAATGAAAGTCAGAGAACAGATTACACTACTAATCTTTTGCCTATCCTTCTTGAGGTGCTGTTAAAATGAGACCCCAGTTTATCAGTTTTCCATTGTGTTTCGAGCTTAAAAAGACAGGAGTTTTTATTTTTCTCCCAGTTTTGTTGGTACATTTGGAACCCTTGGAGAATATGTTACTTTGTTTTAGAGAAGACATTGCTATTTCATACAGTAACCATTTCCTGAAAATTGTGTCATTGTTTCATGATAGAATGACATAAATATATCTTACAACACCATACTTTTTGGATTCATGCCTCATGCAGCAGACTTGCAATCTTGAAACAGTGTTTCTAGGATCAACACATAAGAAGTGACCTTATGAGTTTTTATATAAAACCAACCTGTTATTAAGCACAGAAATACCAACATACTAGGACTGAGTCTCTCACTTACAAATTTGCTAAGTATAATCACCACAAATTGTGTTTGTGGTGAAGCTTTAATTCTTCAGTAGGGACATTTTTGTTTTTACACAAGAACATATTGATTACTCTAACGCATACTCTAACTGATGTAAATCAATATTATTGTGCACAAGATTTTATTCTGAATTTTGATACTTTGACTGAACTAATTTACAGACCTCTTTGAGATAATCTCGAAATTCTTATTATGTACAGTAAGACCTGAAGGTGATTGCTTTGACTAACCAAAATAGGCTGTGATGTCCATAAAGACAAGGATTGGCATACATACAGACACGATCAGCTGAAGAAGATCTTAAGCATCCTACGAAAAATGCAGTGCACAGACCAGGTCCACATACTGTAGGAGGGATTAATAATCTACAGTAATTACAGCAAAAGTGTATTAAAAACATTGGATTGCAAGAATGTTTTAGTAGGCAATTAAATGTTTAATAAAATGAAAAATGTAACTTTAATAATGCATATGTTGGAAAGCCATATTACTGTATCATATTGCTTTCTTGTTTAATGTAGTTGTGTTTTATAAACGGTCTAGGTATGACTGGTACAGTAACTGATGAATGATTACAGTTACTCTTTGAAATAACCAGGTGTGACCCCTGCAGCATTCATGTCTTCTTAGTTAGTGGGATACACCCCCAAGGGACTGACAGTTATTCACCACTAATTATAATGATTCAGGTCCTGCAGAGCAATCAAGACCGGAATGACAGACCAACCTAAAATAGGAAGCAAGGTTATTATATTTCTTCTTCTTTTATGTCAAATTTATGGCTGATTACTTGGTTTAAAAATGACAAAGGAAAAAGCATGTTTAAGCTTGGGTTTCTCTTTTTCATAAAAAAAATGATTTAGTCATCTGGCAGCCTTCATCTGTCAGGATTTTAAAGGGAGCCTAAAGAATCACGACAAAAAGCACTTGCTTTAGGCTACAAATCACAAGATGGATGAATAAAAACCTGATTTCAATTTTTGTAATGGTTCTTTAATATAATAAAGGCATTTAGAATTTAAATGTAGCAACAGCTGGCACTGCAGGAGTTAGGTCCTCTTTTAGTTAAATATTAATCTGCCTTGTTTCCCGGTGTGAAAGGTTTCACTACTGCATGTAATGATTTGGTGTCTGGGTTTGCTTGAGAAGTATGACGGAACTATTTTGTACAAAGTTGGGCGTGCTTTCTCACAGAGGGGTGGGACCTTCAAAGTCAGAGATGTACATAAGGGGTTCCGTCAGCCACACACTGTGGAGTCAGAGAGCACCAGTCGAAGCCAGTCGAAAGAGAAGAGCTTTTATGTGTTGTAGATCAGTGTCTCAGCATTCAACAGCAGATTCATCCCAGGAGGAGGAAACTGAGTTTGTAGGAAGTTAATCCTGAGATAAAGGCAGCGCACTCAAAGGAAAAGAATACTTCTGTTGAAAGATCACCATGAGAGTTCCTGTACCTGGCTGGCTTGCCTTAATGCTCGTTCTCTTGACCATACAGCTGGAAGATGTGGTAGAGGCATGCAGCTGTGCTCCAGCGCACCCACAGCAGGCGTTCTGCTACTCTGATATAGGTACGTCTGTCACAGCTCCTATGGCAGGCTGTGGTCACTGACTGCACTTGATCAGGGGCTGTTTCTCCTTGCTGTCTCTCATCTCTCTCCCTCCCTTCCTTCACACACTCTCTCTGTCACTGTTTAAGCTCATTTCTAGTGCTTTTTGTCATGCACACATTTTGTTTAGCAACAGTTACTGTAGGTGTGCGACACTTCAGAAATGTATGCAATGTTTCATAAAAAAGACCAGTTAAATGATGAAAAGGTTACATTTTGTGTGGTCAGTGCAATGCAAAATTATTGACACACTTTTTTTTACTGAATAAATGGTATTAAGGTAGAATCTTTTATAGCATCAGTTTGACAAGTACATATACAAATACAGAACAAAACGTTAATATTTTAAAATAATTTTAATAAAATGTTTTAACAACATAAAAACCAGCATGAACCACCATCCATGGCATTTTAATACGGTTCTGTAGTGAAACACTGGGTTTCAAAATATTATGTTATTATCTTATTGTTGGAGCAAAATACAATATAAAGTATCCTTAAAATATATTGAATTTCAAATTTCTTGCTATACTTATTAATTTCTCTCAGGAAATAGATGTAATTGATCACGGATATTTTGCTGAATGTAACCTAGAGATTCCTCTTTAGAAAAATACACTGATTTAAGATCATACTTACAAAATTTATAAATTAATTTATTAATTAATGTATATACATTAATTTGAGAATGCTTTGTTTAAGGATTTATGTGAATTTGATTCAAATTGTTTACTTCCATTTTTGGATTAAGGCTTTTGTTTTTTTTCTGTACTATTTATGTCTCGGACCAGTTTAGTTGCAGTTGGAACACACCTGTGATGATACATATAAATAAAATATCATGAAAAAGGTCTAGTAAAATTGACTGGTTGCTTTCCTGTGATAAAGTACAAATTAACAAAACAAAGCATTTAAGGGAATTAGCAAAATATCTAAATTACCTAAATAAAATATCTTAAGGGGTTTACAGTACCTCATAAGACTTGATTGGCTAAGTGAATTAAACAACTCCAAAGCTAGTCAATTTCTACTGTGTTAAAAAGTTATATTAAACATACATATTTAAAAAATGATATTCTGAAAATGATGCACTGTCTGGAAATTCTATAATTCCATTAACAGAATTCTATAATACTTTGAGGATATTTTAAAACATTGTCCTGCTGCTAGTTCGAAGTTGAAACAATCATTCTGTAATGCTTAAAGTTTTAAATTGTGATGATAAATGCAATTCAATGCAGTTCAATTAATCCAAACTCTAGTTTTTTTGACAGAGGGCTGTTATTTCTAATGAAATTAGAAAACCAACAGACTATGGAAAACATTTTATGGGTGTCGGGTACCAAATCTAAGTCTTCAAAACACAAAGGAAATGTGACATTTAGCAGGCTGTAAGGTTCAGAGGGCCCAGGCAGTGTTGGAATGCTTCCAAACCTCACTAACAGTAAATGTACAACATGAGTTTCAAAAATGTCACCAAATTAGCATCTCTATAGGAGAGAGGAAACTGTTTGCATACTGATTAATGGCTTTAAAGGCTCTGACAGGAAATCTTTGTGAACATGACAAGGCCTGGGATTCATTTGAGAATATTGATTTTTCTAAAGTTGTTTTTTAGTGATGTTTTTTTAAAACATACTGTATGTGACAATTATGGTTTATATACTCTTATATACAGTACTTTAGGATTATTAGTTATTGGTAGGGGCATAGAATCCCTATGAAAAGGGGTTAAATGCATATACATATATATAGTTCCTAGATTCATGTTAGGTTCAGCACATATTTGGAGGGCTTTGCTTTTTAAGTTTGTGTGCTGCTCTTCGGATTGAGAGTAGAGGTGATCGCAGTACAAGGAAAAGAAGGAATTTTGGAACACTGCAGACCACTGACTGGAGACATCTGTGAATACAACTTAGCCCCATACAGGACAGAGCATGGTTTGTGTCTGCATGTTCTTACTGACCAGTTAAATGTGTGAGGCCAGACTTAAAGTGCGGTATTTAGTTTCGCCTCCCAGCAAAAACAAGCACAGAAATTAATTAGGTCTGGGCTAAACGGTTTTTACTGGGCCTTTTTTGTCTAAATGATTAGTAGTGTGGCTCTCTGTCATCGCTTGACAGCATCCCTTTTGTCAACAAAGCCCATCTTTTCACAGCACCCTGGTAACCATACATTTGGTACAACTGGCAGGAACCACATGCCCTCTGACAGCTCTAGCAGGCAAGGAAGAACCTTTAGCTTTTGGCCCAGTGGATGCTTTTAGAAGCAATCCCTGTGTGCTGGACACACGAGCTCCGAGTGTGAGTGCAAACTGGATCCGAGCTTGTCTGAGGAACAGAAATGGGAGCAGATTTGGAAAAGGGGATGATTCAATGATTTGTCTTACGTGGCATCAAAAAATGCCTGCTGATTGTTAGATAAATTAATTTAAGATATTGCATTTCTGAATTAAGGACTGTTTGTTGATTGCTGATTGCTAGATAAATTAATTGAATAGACTGCATTTTTGAATTAAGGACTGGGGAACATACTGTACATGCAGACCCACATTTGAGAGAAAAAAGTCAAAGTAACTCAAAGGTATTGGAAATCAGACCATAATGTTCTAGAACTATTGCACGGGAAGTCAAGCACACTGATTGTGCATTGCTGATCTCACTTCTACAGGCAGTTGCAGTCCCTTATCTTGTGTGATGTACTGTTGTTTACCCTGGCCATTGCTGAGATCACAATACAGGGCTTTGTAGGAAAGCAGACTTAAGAGCAGGGCAGAAGGGAAGAAGTGTCAGCTGTCCTGCTTGTCACATCACAAAACAGGAAAATACCTACTGCTACGGCTAAAACGTGTTCTAGTTTCCATGTCCAAATATAAATTCATACTCACAATACTTATGACAATTGTCTTTTAATCGTAATAAACAGGGAAACTCACTAAGAGAACTATAGTCTCTCCTATTTTAGAATGATTACAATATTCTCCCTTGTATGCCTTCAGTAAAACAACAGCAAGGCTTCTCCTGGCTTGTGAAATAGTTAATATTTTTCCTTAAAGATTCTTGGGGTAGAGAGAATGGAAAAAAAAAACCTACATGAAGCCGACTTCCTTGCAGAAATCTGTGGCATGGAAATATGAAAGGATTGGTTTCTATATTTTGGGAAGTCTTATTTCACATGACTTCTGGTTTTAATCAGTTCAACAGAAGCATACGGAAACTGTGCAGTGGTTAGGCATCGATTTACAATGTTGTGTAATGTGGCTTATATTTTTCTCCTGTACATTGCACAAAGATGATATCATCCCAGAGTACCCAGATTCATTTTAGGCCAAAAAGAGAAAGAGAGCTACATGATTCACATTATATGAGTTATTTTAAAATGGAGAATTTCAAATGGAAATGACTCACAAATGTAGAGTATGGAGAAGCTCAAAAGCCTGAGCTGTAAAATATATGATTCAGTGTTGTAAGCTGGACTGTATGATGGAATCCTCAGTGTAACAATTTCCTTAGCACATCTTTTACTTGCTTTGTAAAAATGTAGCACAGCAGAAATCACAGTCTTCCATCCATACAACTGTCCACGTTCTAAACCTCTTCAAACCAATTCAGGATCACGTGTGAGCAAGCAATGGGCATAGGGTGGAATACAACCTGGACGGTATGCCAGTCCGTCACAGGATATACAGTACACAGACACACACAATCATACCGCTGCCAGTTTTCCCAGAAGCCAGTAGTTTTTGGACTGTGGGAGGCAACCGGAACACCCAGGGATAACTCGAAAAATCAGAAGGAGAACACAGGGAGAACATGCAAACTCCACACAGATAGAACCCAGGGACCAAGCTCTGCTAGGCACTGCTGCTAACCTCTGCACCATCATACCGCCCTTAAATCACATCTTTTAATGTATATATTATTCGATTGACTTTCTTTCAGTAATATCCAGTATTTTATCCTTCAGGGACATGAGAGGTTGGTTGAGAGATATACTTTATAAATTAAAGGCCTTACTCATACTGTACATTGTTTCATTCACTGCCTCTACAAAACAATCTAGAAATAATTTACAATTATTCATTTTCCATTCCATAAAAGCGCAGCTCTCATATTCTCGGCAACACATTAAACATTATGGACAGCTACTCAAACTTTGAAACACATACCTTTCTACAAAATCAGAGATTTACGCTCACTCATTGAACCATTGGACTTAAAGCTGACATAATGTTGTGAGTAACTTGCATGTTATGTGAGTTACAATATTATATTATTACACCAGTTCCTGGAAGAAAGCACAGATGTCTTATAACGTCTGAGTTTTGAAAATGGCAAAGCCGAAACAAGCCTGATAGATTTACTACATCACTGACATAACTCTCTGGTCCCAGGGCACTGGCAAAAGTGGTGATAGGGACACTTGCTTAGCATTCCAGAGGCTTTAGTAGGGAATTCCAAAGAACAACATCAGCATTCCATCCCACTAGCCAGATTGGATAATGAAAAAAAAACAGTGAGAAGGAAAGTTGTGCAGAATTTTAACCTCTGGTGGTCTGGGTCCACATTAACACCTGAAATGAGCTTGGTGATCTCAGCTTACTCTCAAAGGCCTATAGGGAGTTCTGTGTATAATGAAGAACCACCAAACAGTTTGGCTTAGCTTATTAGGTTCGCTTGTCTGAGATTTACTGTAGCTTTGAATGGTGAGAAACTTGCAAAATTGCTTTGAAAGAACAAGCTTTCAAGTGCTTGATACCATTCCAGGCAATCAAGCACAAAGTCTTATGCCTTTTTATGAAAATGATATAAAAAAGAGAGGTTGTCTGTACTTACATATTAATATTTCTGTATAAACAGTCAGAAATGAAACAGCCCTCCCAGTAAAATGAAATATCTCTGGAATTGTGTGGCTTGGTGGATGTCACTGTACATAATGGATGAAACAATCTGGCTATCTGAGCATTACGTTCAACATTGTAGAGCAATGGGGAAACAACAGGAGACATTTATTTTTAGTCATAAGCACATTCAAACAAAAGGATCTTTTCCTGATATACTGGATCTGTTTTTCGAGGTCCAGACAACTGCTGAACCATAGATAAGCCTTTTCTGTACTCACACTAAGTGATATTTGTATAGAAACTCTTCACAGTATATACTGTCTAAAAACAATCTGTACATACAAAGTACAATATTTGGAATTCTACAAAAAATGTAACTGGCTCTCAGTGAAATTGGATTTGTTTTCATTTATCTTTCTAGTTTAAATCTGCTTTCGGTCAAAGTTTGCTTGGGTTCTGTATTTGAGACAGAAGTGAGGAAACTGGTCTGTTCCTGCTGGTTGTCTGCAAATGGTTCTTCTCATGAGGAACCATTGCAAAAATGGATCACACATAGTTTCTATTACCAGCAACAGCACATTTCCTAGATCTAGTGTGTGATATGTGATGTGCTCATATGGAATGGGGTGACTGTGGATGTGAGCAGATACCGAGCACGTCTGATGTTTTTGCGTGTGCAAAAACTTTACATTTGTATGGGATAAATGACACAAAATGGTCACATATCAATGTAATGCTTGCAAAATTGAAATCTGTGGATTAAGCACCACAGAAAAACATGAAGAAGCTCATATTATATTGCTTTCATGTCAAAGATGGAGGTGGGAAGGGCAATTTCCTTTTATAGACTTTCGTAAGGAACACAGATTTAGAAATAATTCTGCATTTTTTTCTTTTTTACTCTTAGAGCATTTCTGTACTTAATTTCATGTATCTGGAATGTTTTTTTACAGTGATTCGGGCAAAGGTCTCAGGTGAAAAGATTGTATCTCCAGACTCTCATCCTCACTTAAAGATGATTCAATATGAAGTGAAACTGATAAAGGTAAGATGTACTAAAATAAGTGTGATGATTACAAAAAAATGAAACCTTTATATTTTATTCTGATCATTGTATTTGGCTTTGCTGACAAGGTTTCTGTTGCTTTCAAAGCTCATCATGTGTTATCCCCAAATCTCACTTTGTTCTGTACACCTCTTACAATCAAAGTCTATTCAACTGTTACTGCTTTGTGGCAGATAATGGAAGGAAAAATGACTATAGCAATTATTACATAACCATGGACATTTATACTGTAAAAGACAATTTTACTGATAAATGCTGATAAGACCTGCACCACGCTGACTATAATTGCATTGATAAAAATAGAGAGATTTTTTTTCTTGGATACAGTCTACAGTTAGAACTCAAGGTATAAATACCGAAGACAGACAATTATAAAAATGCTCCTGAATATTCTCTTAACTTCTCTATGTCAGCAGCCAAGGATGAATTTCTGTGCATTACCTACACCCTGGCCCAGAAAAACCATGTTATTCAAATTTCTCTTCATACTTCACTTGACTTCTTCAAAATATGGAATGCCATTTCAGAGCAGGGGAGTCTAGAGTTCTTTTTTTCATATTTGTAGCTGTCAAGCTTGTTTACTCACATGCTAATGATAAAATCCATCCTAAGTTTCAGTTTGCCTTAAGAGAAGGTGTTGCAATGCTGTTTTCCAAATATAAAAGTACCTTTCATCGACACAACATTAAAACAAATGCAAGCATTTCAAATTGTTGTGAATTGAATTGACACGCATATACTGTATATTAACACACATCCCGTCTTTAAAGATGTTCAAAGGCTTCGAAAAAGTGAAGGACATCCAGTATGTATACACTCCTGTTTTCTCTTCCCTCTGTGGCGTGAAGCTGGATGCCAGCAACAAAGTTCAATACCTTCTGTCAGGTAAGACAAAGCCATACTTTCAGAATATAACATCACCAACTGCTTGGAGCAATAGCTACATACAGTATGAATGGTTTTATAAAGGACAGGGAATAAGGTCATTTTCTACAAAATTTAATTGAAGGATTTTAATAAATAATTATTTTTTCTTCCAAAATCAACTTAAGTAATTAAGTGAAAGCTGGAGTTGCTCAAGCCATTTGTATTTGCGCCAAAATAAAATGAAATCTTACCTGTCTCTAATGTTTGTCTACAATAACAAATACTGCCATCTGCTGAAAATCCAGTGAAGGACTGTGGTGAAAGTTAATATGTACAAGAGCCTGTGAACTAGAACCCTGAATTAGCGTCCAGAGCATGTTTTGTTCCTATTATTATTTATAATTAATAATCCAAGGTGACAATTCAAAACAGTTACAATTATAGATAAATACAGTGTAAACTTGTATGTATGTGAATTAATTCACTTAACGTAAATACATGTAAGGTACAGTTAACTATAAACCACCAAGGGCCTGCTACTTCCAGTGATACCTTTCACATTTTCTCAGTCATTTTTTTAGCCAGTGTACTGTAAATTAGATAATTATACACATTGAATAAAGCTATCTCAGAGTGTTGTACTCTGTACTGTGGTTTTTACTAGATGTGTATTAATAGGTAAATAAACAGTCCTTAATATACAGTACATATATATATATGAAATTGTTCTTAGCTTTTAGGAAACTGGATTGTAACCCATGAATTACAGTACTTAGGAGAATCATTGTACAGTGTAGAAGTTTACTTCTCTACTGCTTCGGACTTTGTGTTGCAATATGATCCATCGACTATAAAAGAGATGCAAGACTGAAACATCCCTGAGTGATTCCACTTCACCTCATGCGAGAGGGTAATATGTTTGATACAGCCAATTCACACAGCATTCTGTACAGTTCATTAGAACTCCAGCAGGCTGTGTCTTATTAAGTTCCCAGGTTAACACACATGGTGGAAAGGCAGTGCTGTGCCTTTAATAAATGACCTGCCAAAGACTTAACATTTTTGTCTTCTGTTTCCCAGGCAGAATGGGGAGTGATGGAAAAGTTTCTATTGGTCTTTGTGATTTCATTGAGCCCTGGGATAACCTTTCAATGTCCCAAAAGAAAAACCTCAATCAAAGATACGAAATGGGCTGCGACTGCAGAGTGAGTTCTTTAGCTTCTTAAACCACATTTATTTTCTGCCTGCATGCAAACACAACAACTGTTGCTTCTCCCATCAGATCAACTAGTGATAGTTGAAGAGAAAAAAAAGTACCTATTAAATTGCAAATCTAAAAGTACAACAAGAACGCCTCAGTCATTTTTGCATTTTTCAGGATTCCTAATTTTTTACCTGTGCTTGTTTTTAGAATAGCTTAGTTTGTAGCCAAAAAACAATGAACTTCACTTCTGATTAAATTCTAACCATACATAAAATTTAACAGATGTATACCATTACCTTCCCTTAGAAAAACGATGGCTAATAGATTTGCTTTTTTATTCATTTAAGTTGATGATGTGATGGAGAGGGAGACTGGTCAATTGCTGAAATATGTCATACTGTATCAGCGGACTTTCACTTACTGTATCACTCCCCGCTGAAATTGTACTCTCTTCTCTCAGATTTCTAGTTGCTATAGCCTACCATGCTCCACAACTGCAGAAAATGAGTGTCTCTGGACAGACTGGCTGACAGATAAAAGTCTGAATGGAGAACAGGCCAAAGAGTATGCCTGCATCAAGCGAAGCGATGGCTCCTGTAGCTGGTACAGGGGGGGACCTCCCCCAGAAAAAGAGTTCATGGACATTTCAGACCCCTAAGAAGGACTCACTGTAAAGGGGAAAGGTACAGAGGCAATGCTCTTAGACAAGCTGCATAACTGCTCCATCTCTAGGTCCTTCAACCTGGAATGCCTGCAGCTCAGTGCACTCTTCTGATTCTGTCTGAAGCTCAGTTGCCTATGTTTCAACATGTGTGAATGTATAAGATTGCTGACAAGAAGCTATTTCCAGACTTTTTAATGCAGTATTTGCTCAAACGCATCTGTTTAAGGACTTGATTACGTCAGGATTCTTTATTTTTCTTTAAAGCAAACATATATGCCCACATTACCACAGGGCACACATCTTCATCCTCTCTTTCATAACCATGCTATGTAAATCGCACAGTCCCGACTAGTGCATGGCAAGTGTGTTCCTATTCATATGTTAGAAAAACCAATATAGAGTGGAATGTATTAACTTGGATGTGAGAAATGACTTCTTGTTTTAGATTTCAGGTTAGCATTTTTTGTTCGCTAGTAAGTAATTTTGATCACTGTTAATTTCCTAATGTACTTCCTAATAATTTGTTTCTAGTTGTCAAAAAGGATCTGCTTAGGTCTATAGCAGAGACATAAACCAGTATAAAAGCAATAATAATAATTGTTATTCTAGAATAGATGCTGTCTGATTCTGGATCTTGCAATCCATTGCAGTACAGTACTTTAGGGCAATTAGCTGCTTAATTGTGTAACTGAAAAAATAGTCATGTAATTAAGCAATTAACAAGCTGGATGCACTAAAATTCTGCAAATGAATGGATTAGGAGGACAAGGTTATGACAAGTTGCACACCACTTCTGGTGTTTTGATATTTACATGATTTTCAGACCAAGTAGATTCAAGAAAACCAACAATCAAGATGTTTATATCTCTTTTTATATCCTGTCTTATGCATGTACTGATGCTTAATTCACATTATTGGAATGTCTAGTTTTTATGTGATGGTGTCAAACTCAATTTTTGAAGGACATAGTGTCAATTCCTAATGTCTTCCTGATATTGTTCCACCCAAGCTCCCAGTTACGTGATATCGTTGATCATGTTATTTAATTAAGGTAGCTGTATAGGTAGCTGTACCTTTAATAAAGTGAATATTTTGCTTAATCAAGTGTAGAAAGCCTTAAGAAAAAACTTATTCTGTATTCTGTATATTCTTAGGAAATAATTTGATTAATTGTTTAATTGACTACTCAGGATGAAAAAAAACAACAAGATAATGTCAGGCCCTTCAAGAACTGGGCTTAAAAACCCCTGCTTTTCATAAAAAGATTGTTATCTTACACACAATTTCTCCTTGATTTTATTTAATGTTAAGTATTTGTTTTAACACATTTCTTCATGATCTTGGGTGTGTGCTGTAAGGAAATTGAGTATTTTACTACCAAGTCACAAGATTAACAAAAGAATGGATCAGAAATTTAGCATACAAATGCTTTTTGGCTCTTATGCTATACAATGGTTTAATGTGCTCTTTTTGCCCAGAATGTTCTGTATACATTATGAGAATGTATATATTTGTGTTATTAACAATGTAAACACTCACAGCTTAAAATATAAAAGTTGGCAGATAGAAATTGTATAGTTTAAACACATGATTTATTTTTCAATTTTATTCTGTCTTTTAACAAATGTTCCATAAATACTTTGTAACGCTGAAATGAAAACAAATTTCATTTTCCAAAAATCTAATACATCCCTTTGTAATGTAATTATTACCTAATGGTGTCAGAAATAACCATAGTTAATGTATCTGTGGCACATTGTTTTAAACAAATGAATGTTTGTATGCATATTTATGTTTTTTCACCTTTCAATATGTTAGTGGACTGTTCTACCATATCATACCAAAAAGATTGTTTATAAAAATCTTGCAATAGAGTACCTCATGAATTAATTCATCCATCTTATTTGTCTTACCAATATAACCAGCAAGGTTATTTGTTGTCAGTATAAATGTGTCAGTCGCTTGACTTTATTGTGGTGTGTTTTGTCTCCAAACAAAAAAGTATTGGCAAGATGTACTGTTGTTAATTAATTAGAAACTACAGATACTATTGGCAAAGCAGTATACCTCTACTAGTCACTAACAGAGCAGATAAAACAATTCTGGGGATAGTTAAATATTCCATGTCTGCTCATCAGTTTAATTTAAGGAATTAGAACAGTCAGCACATTTTGTCAATCATCGCAATCATCGCATTCAAATGATTACTTTTATTTTCAGTATTCGTTTCGTTTTTTCAAATTGCAGGGAATTAAATATTAGAAACATTTGATTCAACTGAACAAATAAAAAATGCACTCATTTAAAAAATCAAAATAGATTGCAAAGGAGACTTGTGCATTAACTTAAGATACTACATCACAATCTGAACTGAATTGCACAATCAACTTTTCATACTAATCGGTTATACAGATCTAGCCATATACAGTATATATATGAGAACAAACAAGACCATTAACAGAGCAGGGGCACCAATAGAACAGGTGTGTGTACTTTTCAGCTCCACAGAAGTACAGCTTATCTCCTCTTTTTTATTATGATAAAGTGGAGAATTATCATTCATTCAGGTGTACTTAAAATGGGATAAAAAATAAAGCAAACAGTTGAGCAAGCCTTACCATTTCCTTATAGTCTGGGTAGAACGTCTGCTCTATGAGGGGAAATTTCTCAGGACCAAGACTCTTGCTGGCACTTATCAACTGGGAAAACTGAGAGGAAGAAAAGAAAAAAACAACTGCTTTCAAATCAGTTTACATCACACATAAGTTTGAACTTGTACTCTACTTGTGTAAATGTCACGTATTGTGTACGGATACAATTACACGTCAATTAGGCATTAAGTATTTAGAAAGGCACTCAGTAACTGGAGAGCATAAGTAGGAAAACTGCTGACAAAATGATACTGCTGCAGATTCAATTATTGCAAAGTTCTTGCAAAGTAGTTTAATCATTTGATTTAAAATTTTATTTAGAAAAACAGACAATACCTATATTATATGTTTTTAGAAATTTGAAATATATGGTATGATATTTCAGGAGGCTAAGAAAAGCTCATTGTTACACATTCGTACTGAAGCAATTACTGCTAAGTCATAGAACACTGGGACCCAGCAACCAGCACAAAATTGCCAGTGCAATAGATAGATACCTTTTTGATCCCGTGAGGGAAATTGCAGTGCAACAGCAGCTTAGCACGGTCAACACAGCACAGTGTAACGAAATGATACAATTAGACAACAATACAACACAGTCAGTAGAGTCAGTGAGAAGTGCAGTAAAAGTAAAAAATGGATTATACAGAGTTGAAATATCTATGATGACCAATGAGGGATGGGATGAGTGCTGTCGACTCATGGCTACCCTGTGGACAGTTCCCCCATCACTATCCATAGAGTTTTCATCGCACCATGCGGAAGTAGATCGCCAGGCCTTTTTTCTGCACAGATACTGCGGGTTTTGTTGCCGTTGTCACGGAAACATGATCTTCCACCACCAACACCGCCCCATACTGCTGCCGCCCAGTAGGGGTTCTTAGAGAACCTTGTGCCCGACATGGGACACGAACCCACTACCCTGAGATTAGGAGTCTCATGCTCTACCAACAGAGCTAGTCGGGGGTCATTATGAACACTACAGTTGACTAAATGTTGTTATAATAAGCTTCTAGACTTTGGATTCAAAATCTATTGATCTCACAATGTAACTTTGTTGCATCTTACTTATCTGCATGTATTGTATTAAGAAATGGGATACTGAATTCTGAGACTGAATATTTCTTTCATTCCATATAAGGACTGTATTGTTGGATTTATTTTAGAAAATGTCTCAGGATATGCCACTGGAGCAACTGCTACTGCCCTCAGAAAGGCTGCTAAAATGTGAGATTGGACCATGCACTGTATAATGACAATTTATACCCATGCCATTTGATTGTGTGGAAGTGGTTAGAAAAGAATGAGCTAATCCTTCCCCTTAGCTAACGTGACGTTTTGTGGTGCGTCTAAAACTTTTTCAGCCTTTAATTAAGTTTTGAAGATGTCCACTTTCCTTTAAATTTCTGCTTTTAAATGTTGCTGTGGACTAGATTACTGCTCAAAGTCATTTTTTTTTCTGGCCAGTATATCTTGCTGTGTGCTTGATAAAAACATACACAACAGTACACCACTGAAGCAGCAGGGATTACGAACTGTTCTGGTTCATGAATATGTTATAGGACTAGTCAAGAAATTGTGAATGAAACAACTTTAAAGATTTTGTCATTAAAGACGGTGTCACTAAAAGGATTTGATAAAATATTCTAAAAGATGTAACTCCTTTTATGATCAAAAAGCTTGTTTATTTCATATTTGTTTCCAAGCTGACTTCTTGGCAATTGGTTTTACTGTGAATTCTGCGGAGATGTTGTATACTGCACTATTTGAATAAAATGCACAACAGGCATTTTAGGAAGGAACTTAGAAGCATACTTAACAACGCCATATCATAGTAACCCTTTGAAAATGAATGTGATGAACATGATAAATTAATTGAAAATGCAGTAACAAATAGGCAATTTAGGACACATTTTATCCCTTTAATAGCATTATCCTTTAATACAATAACGTGTCATGTGTTCAACAACAACATTGTTGTGTTATGCACTTAACATTCTTTAGGATACAGTAAACATTTCTTGGAAACGTCTTTTGTGGTGACAAGATACCACAAGTTTAATTGAGGAACTCAGAACTAACAATGATGCTACAATGCCGAATATGTTTTGTTATTCTAGAAATATCATTTGTTATTGAGTAAAAATAATCAGATTTACTTTTTGGTGAGAGATCATACCATTCCGAAATCCAAGAGCAAAACTTACCGTCCAGGGTTTGTCACAGAGGTTGTAAATAGATTCCATGGAGTTTATGCTGGGAACTCCTCCATAATGCAGACCGATAATCATGTTGCGAAAATCTTCGTTCTCTGCCATACTGAAGGCGTGTTGTCGGATCAAAACAAAGTCAGGCTTGAATGACCTGTAATGCAATGACAGTGATAAGGAACAGATCTTACTACTGTTCAGAAGACTGTGTTGTCTTAGTTTAATGCTTATGCAAAGAAAAAATAAGAAACTGATATTTTGTAACTTTGGCATGAATTATATTTCACTCTTATGAAAATAATAAATCCCAGGTGAGAGTTCAGACTTTAAAGTAGCATGTTAATACTTAGAGAGGAAACCAATAGGTCCATCTAGCTTGTTTGGTTGCTACTAGCTAATTCATTCAAGAATGAAAGAAGCCATTTATGCTAAAAAACCCATAGTTTTCACTTTTGTTCTCTGGTTCCTTTAAAGGTTTAGGTGTAAGAAAATTAATTTCATAGCATCACCCAAGTATTTTCTTTGGGAGTTGCATTGCATTTACAAAACACATAAGAAGTGTTTCATTCTAGCTCAAAATCCGCTCCATCATTTTGCCAAAACTTTATTTTTCATACAAATTGTGCTAATGGTAGAATACTGGCACTTTAGTTTCAATAATATTATTATTTTTGTAATATACTGTATATTGAGAAGTTCAAATCAGAAGAAAGTGTCTTTTCGCCAAATCACCCATTTGCACTGTACAGTATGTGCACCACATTTCATTTCCCTACTGTGCACAGTCTGCATGATAAAATTGTTTGAATAGGCCAGCTAACTTTGTCAGCCTCTTGTACTTTACCTAAATGTGGTTAATGATATTCTAAACCAGGGGTCGGCATACTACGGCCCGCAGAACTTTTCTGAGTGGTCAGGAGCTCACTACTGTTTGAATCTCGAGGGTTACTTTTTGCATCACATTTGGAAAATTTCTACTTGTTAGCTCTGCTGCTCTCTCTCAGCACTAATGATCAATTGCAGAACAACACCTATTGCGCGATGCATTTTACTTTTAGCCTATCTGACTAACTTTATCCTAGGTTAAATGCGCCTGTGCTACAACTGATTCTTACCATAAATATATTTGGATTTTGTATTGCCTACTGTGATTGGCTCAGTCATGCAAATGAAGTCTAGCGTATGCTATCTTTTTTGAAAGCAGGTAATGATTTCAAACGGTTCTAAAAGTTACATCTGACAGGTTATTCCTGCCGTGTCGAAAAAAAAAGAAAGATCGATGCAGAGGGTCGAAAATCCAAAGACAAATGGTCAGAAGAGCACTTTTGTGGACCTTGGAAAGAAAAGGTAATGTGTCTTATCTGTCGGGAAACAACATCAAATTGCATTACGAGACAACACATCAGGCTAGGTTTTCGGAATACACCTGAGATGGACGGAAGGAAAACAATTGAAGAAAATGTTGCGGCTACCTGGGCTAGTTATCCGAGTATCACTGCTTCTAGCAAACCCTTCACGGACGATGAGTTTATTAAGCAGTGTACGCAAGAGGTCACGGAGGTGATGTGCCCGGAGAAACGCGACCTATTCCAGTCGGCGAGTTTATCGGCTAGAGAGGGGATTTCACTCAGAAGGCCCAAGAAGGTTAGTACATATTTTTAGTGGCCCTTGCTCTAAAAAGTTTGTATACCCCTGTTCTAAAAGAAAAATAATTAAATAAATAATTAAGAAGCCCGTTTTGACTGTAAATAGATATGAATCCTTAATAAACTCACTAAAAGCTGTGAATTCCCCACAGAAACCATGACATCCGCCAGAGCTTTTATGTTTAATTAGACGTAACCCTGGGAGATGAGAGAGAATCACACTTCTTTCCCCAGCAATATTCAATCTATTGCCTTTGTACCAAGGGAGGAAAAGCTGTAGCTGGCTAGAAACTCCAGTGCAGTGTAGTGTGAAAGTATAGGATTGGGAATTAACTCCAGATCTAACTTAAAACAGCTGTCATGTGTGTACAGTAACTACATTCTAACATATTTTAGTTCAGTTATGCTCTGTGACAGACCACTTCTGTTTTCCTCATGCATGGATATTCATTTACCAAGTCTCAAGCATCCTGAGTATTTTGTAAGGTTTCATTTAACTTTGCTATTGACTGGCTGTGATCTTGTATTATCTCCATATTTTGCTGCACTGAAATGTTTCAGAATGTACTGCAGCAGTATCATAGGAAGGAGGTCTGTGCCACTGTGGGTGAAAAGTAAACTGAAACAAAACAAAATATTTTCTGATAAATGACATAATACTCTGTCTATAGCACATAACATCTGTCAGTTAAGAAAGAGTAGATTGGGTCTCACATCCCACTTTCTGAGCAGGTTCTCTCTCTTTATGGGGTAATTAGTGACCTATCACAGGGATATGTACTAGGATCACTGCTGTTATACATTATTTACTGTACAGTATATCAATGATCTAGATCATGGCTAGTTAGTAAACTGGTCAAGCTTTCTGATTATACCATATTAAGAGGATTACCTAACACTTTAGAAGCAGCAAATTCAATTCAATTCAGTTTTTTTTTATATAGCACTTTTCACAACATGGTTACCCCAAGGCGCTTAACAATGCAAGTAACCATACATTTTGTGAATACAGAACAGAAGATTGAACAGTGAAAAAGATTTAAATACAATTCCAGACTGGGAAAACACACATGGCAGTTGACTTCTAATGTAGACATGTGCAGGGTTTTGCATGCAGGTAGCAAGAGCAAACTAGAAATACAAAAATTGGAGATGAAACCAATGACCAATTAATTACCAGTGGAGATAAAGCCAATTACTTATAAAACAGACTTAGGTGTTTAAGATGACATTTTATATATTCTAGACAATGTAGGAAAGCAATTAAAAAATGCAAACAAAATGTTAGGATATTGTTAAAAGTGTTGAGTTTAAGTCAAGTGAGTTTTGGTCACTTATCTTATAATACAAATTGTAATACTGTATAATGAATGCATAAATTAAGGCACTAACATTATATACAAGTACATTTGTTTTTCAGCAAAACAAATGAAAGCAAACAGAATTTAATTGCTTCGGTTTTATCACTTATTCAGGCTGATTTCAAAGCCGGAAAATCTCTCAAACTACAAAGTCCTGAATGGTGCTCTTCAGACATACCTGACCACCTTTGTACCACTTCGAAAGACTTGCATGTCAACATTGCAGGTACCGTCAGCATGAGACACAAGGTTGATCTCGGAGAACTCCGCCTAAAATTGAAATTCACAGAAGAAGGAAAAGGTAATTTAGATCCCAAATTCATAGTTTCAAAACAAACGTGATGACTGTGGGTGTTTTATAGTATGAAAGCCTGCATGAATCCTTTGATATTCCTTGTTGGGCATCCTGTAAGGTGAGTCATCTGCTTTTAGCTCCACACCAACCTGTTTCGTAAGGGAGGGGAGAAACAAACCACAATATATACTGATGGAAAAAAGAAATGCAACATTTTCTGGAATGAGAATACTATAGTTATATCTTATGTACTTTCACAAAAAGTTGTCAATTTGTTTTAAGCCCTCTGACCAGCAATACAACTTGTGCAGTGAGGCATCGCAACTTGCCAATCACACGAAAGCTCGTTAGGTGCACTTTTACCCAACGAGATCCAGGTGGAACAGTGCCTGATCAGGTCACCTTTAAAAAGGCCTTAATTCAAAAGCCTACTCTAGGTCACTGCAAGAGAAAGGCCACACTTAGTCAGTTTTCTGTGCATTCCATAATGCCTCGAATGTCACCAGAAGCAAAGGAAAGGGCCATTGGCATGCTGCAGGCAGGCATATCATGTGACAGCGGTGCCAGACACTATAGAGTAAGCTGCTCCACTGTGTCCCGACTGCAGAGAAGGCTTCAGTAGTCCGGCAGGACAGATGACCATCCAAGATCCGGTCACCCTTGAGTGACCAGAGCAGGACCAACACATCAGACTGGTCCATCTGAGAGATCGTTTCAGATCTGCCACCCGTACTGCTGCTGAAACTGCCAGCAGACACAATGACCACATCAGTGACAGGACAGTGAGGCTCCATGCTGCTGGCCTCAGAGCAAGGCGACCTGTCAGAGGCCCACTGCACACACCTCCTAGACGTCACACCCGACTGGCTTGGGCCAGACAGAGGCTGCGATGAACTCGTCAGCAGTGGCATCAGGTCCTCTTCACGAATGAGTCACTCTTCAGCCTGTCCCACGCAGATGGGAGGGCCATAGTGTGGAGGAGGAGATGTTGCAATTCTTTTTTCCATCAGTATAGAAGACTGCAAAGATGAATACAGTACATGTGCAGTTGTGGAGACTGCTTTTTCTACTTGTGTAGTCACCTCAGAGTGAATAAGATCTGTCCATTCAGGAATTCTAATAAGATTAAGTTTTCTTTATACATATTGTTCCATTACTTTTCATGTAACATGGTAGATTCAAACAGACTCATTTTTTTCCACAGTAATGAATATGGAAAGCAAATTGTATGCACTGCTTGAGCAGCAGGGATTAAATTTCTTTCTGAAAGAAACCAAAAAAAAAATTCTGGGCAGGAAATCAAACAATTAAAGATGGTGTACAAAAAACTGGCCACATTCTCTCTAAAAACACTACCAATGGCAACAAACACAAAAGAATCTTAAAAATCAAAACAACCAGAAAAGACAAAAATTTAATTAGTTATGTAATATAATACCTTTAACTGAATACAGGATATTAATGACACAAGTGTTTCATTTAGTGTTCCGAATGCCAAAAACGTGCATTTTAAATTGGATTTTTTTTTAAATGTAGAACAAAATGTTTATTTTTCAACTAAAAAAATTAATTGCTTTCCTTTTAAGTCTTGAACTCTGGTAGAACTATTTGCACTGACATGCACAAAATATGCACATTTGCATATTTTATTATATTCAGGTGGTAAAACACAGAAGCTACAGTACAGTAACAGAAATGTTAAATCAATAAGGGTACTGAGATAATGTGGGACATACATGGTAATACAAACCCACAGCTCCCTATTTAAAAAAAGGATATGCTGTTGTATTCAGGCAACATATTATAACTTCTTATTTAAAGAAGCAGTGATGGTATTATCAATTTACTTCTTTACTTTTTACTCTCTTCCTCCCTTCCTAAACGATTAAAATTTAAGTAAAACAAAGTAGCCGACGAAGGGTTAAAAGCAGAACTGTATTACAAAACACTTGTGAAATAAAATAAAATAATTCCACTTTAACAGCGTCTTGTTTGATTTAAATGACTGCAATGTTGTCATAAGGAAGTCTGCGGAGACTTTTGATGGAGGAACCATTCATAAAATAGGAAACATCTGGCTCCTTCCACGTGTTTTCTCTGAAGTACACCGTAACCATGACACATATGTTAGCTGAACGTCTGTGTGCACAAGAGCACATTCCTGATTTCAGTAGATTTTGCCACTGGGGGTGTCATTTTTTATTATGTAAAAGAAAGTCAGTTATTTCTCCGGAGGCAGACGTGGCTCTGAATGGAGGAAAAATACCAGCACTAATACTGTGCAGAGGCATCCTCAAGTGGCAAAATCAGCCAATACCGGTATTTGTGTGTGTTCGAGTAGGCCCCGGCTTCTTATTATTATCGTTTATTAAAGCAGATCCAGAGTAGGAGCGGACACACCATTCTGGAAGCACTTGACATGTGCCATAATTAAACACAGAAACACTCTGCCGTGTGAAGAGTTAGAAGCAGTTACGTGGAGGCTGAAAGCTATGGCAAATTAAGGCTGGATCTTTTGAGAGGCCACGTTGTTCCAAGCATGTGGAAGCATGTGATGTGATGCTGTGTAAGCAAATTAGAAATCTGAAAATCTGGTTCCACTTTGAGGAACATTACAGAGTGATGTCTAATAGATCCCTAACCACTGCTCTGTATTAGCAGGCACCAGGAGGATATTTACTACTGTGTTTAAATACCATGTACATTTGAAGGGAATGAGAGGAAAATAAAAACAAGGCTTAAATGTACAGTAGTGTCCTTTGTCTTTTCACTGTTCCAGTTATTTCCAGTAATAGTACCATGAGACTTCAAAGACTTCATATTATCCTTTCACTGGTTTTATGTCAAGGGTACCTTATTGATAAATGACCATGTCATTGAAAAGGTCAAAGGAATTTGCCTTTAAATTGGGAATCCTTTCCACTGAGTTTGAGAGAGCCGCCACTATATATGTACAAAAGCAAAATTAGAACCAGGAAGACTATGCTAATTTCTCCAGATGATTATGTAATGAGAATTACAGTTTGTCTAAAATGTAAAAATTAAAATTAAAATAAAAAAAAATCATTTTTACTTAATCTATTAGGCGCTCACCAGTTTGGACCTATAGTACAGATGTTGCTGGTTTGAATTTGGGATTACAATCAGGTATCTATGACTGGAACAGCACATGTGGTACAACGTGATGACTTGGGTGCTGCCAGAGATGGCATATACAGTAGATGAATTCAGGTAGGTCAGGGTATCCTCAAAGGGTTTCGCTTAAAGTTACAGACTTTTTGGCCTTCCAGGCAGCAGTGAGCATGAAGTGGCATTTGTGAGGCCATCATCTGTCCTTGTTTTAAATCCCTTAGCTGTATCCTTGCTGCTGTGAACCCCACATTGCAGATAAGAACCTGATTATCTTGCAGAGGTGCATTTGGGAGAGAGTGTGAACATTATCTTCATCTGTTCTCAGCTCGTATGGGGGATGTAGGAGCAACTTGATTTGATTAAGAACAGCTGTTTCCAAATATGGGGATTCACAAAGAAAAAGAAAAGCATTGAAAGTTATAGTAAAATAGGAAAAAAACATTTTAATGATAGAAGAGAACCCTGTAACCTCCTGAATGTCACAACCTATGGTGAAACCAGTGGTTAGCTGGTCTAGACTGGACTGTTCATAATGCAAGCATTTTTTTCCATTACTGTGTAAATACCAAGTTCTACATTTGGAAATGCCATGCAAACAAACTCGTGAATACCACTAGCATTAATATTGTATGGTGTTATTGTGTCAAGATGAGTTGTTCAATTTAACAATAAGGCATTTCTGTGAGGATGTTTTCCCACAGGATGAGAAATCAAATTAAAAAAAAAAAAACGTACTGCAATAACCTGTAACTGGAAGTTGTATTTGGGGCTTCTCTGTCATCTACAGTACTTGTTTCAAAATGTTTTAACGCCCCTAATGGCCTGTAACTAAAAGTTGATTTAGAAAAATAAATGAAACAGATATACATCAATATTTTAGCACTGATTAATTAAATTATGATAGAAATGAATGACAAGAAGTACTGAATAAATGAATAATGCAGCTGTAAAAAATACTTTACTATACTTTTAAAAGTACAATGCGATGCACAACTGTTTGCAGAACATAGTTGTAAATAGTTTTTTACTCATTTGTGTTAAGCACAGAAATGTTGTGTATGAAGTTTGTCAACTAAAATTAAATTATATTCATCACACCTGTAGGTATTCAACACAAAGAAATCTTTTCTCCCATGACTAACCAGGTAATTGCATTAGATAAAAAAAACTGATAGCCTCATTGTGAAAATATATGTTGCTGGCAGCTGTCATGGAAAACAGAACAATTTTACAAAAGGCAAGGAGGAAATAATTAAATAGCTAACAGGCTGATACACTGTGTTCACTCAAAATAAGATCAAAGAATGGTGTCTTTACTGGTAAACAACTTTGTCTTACTTCTAGGTAAAAAAAGCTATAAACAGGAAACAACCACTAAACAGACTTAGTAACCAACTTTCTTAGTTTTTTAACACATGATCTATGTCCATCTGGACACTTTGCTTTATTACTAACATAATGTCAGGCATATATTTAACTGTTCGGAAATGTAGAAAATGTATGTTTAACATTTTGTTAGAAAAATATAACAAAAATGCCAATTACTCTTAAATACAATGAAAGCAAGATAAAATGGTTGTCAGAAACCTTTTTTTTCTCAACAAGCACATCACATGTACTTTAGCGTGTTTACATAAGATAATAAGGATGTTTTACATCTGTTTAATGCCAAACAGCTTTTAATGCTATACTGAGAAATGAGAAAAGCCTCCCTTACTCCATGCTCTAATGTTCAGAAGTTCAGAATTAAACCATTCTAAAGCCATTGTTGCTCTGCTGTGTTAGGAATCAAGTTCATAGTAGAGCCTAGTGGTTGTAGATTGTCCTGGTTTCTATTCCATGTTTCACAGACTCAGGGTAGGTGACTTTACCATGCTTGTCCATTTTTGATTACCCTCAGCATTGCTGGTGCTCCATATACACCTTGTTAAACTGGAGCAAACAGGGTCTAGAACCTTGCTCTGGGGTACAACAGTAGTGTCAGCAGGGGATATTTGAAGCTACAATGACCCTGGCTGACTAATTCTTGTTTGCCCACTGGGACTTTGTAAGTTGTGCTCAGAGACCTAGGGAATCCCAGTCACATTTGTCTCATGACATTATGTAGACCAGATATGGCCATTCAGTCAACCCGTTCTCTGAACTAGTGCCTTACTGGTTGAACCAGTAAGCTTCTTATGAACATGAGCAATAATTGTCAAGGTTGCACTGGATGCAGGGTGAGCAACTATTAGTGTGAAAGTCCAATTAACAGGTCACCTGGATCACCTGGAGGCAGTTTCGTGCCGCTCCAGGTGGTTCATGGATATCTAAGGGCTGCTCAGCCCTTCTCTTGGTTCTGGTATAGAGTTCAGCTCTGACCAAAGTTCCTGTCTCTAGTTTTGTTCCTGTGTTCTTGCTTGTGGTCTTACCTGGATTCTCAACCCAACAGATCACGTCTCTGGACCTTTCATGCTTTGGACCTCCGTGTTTCCTGTGTGCTACGAACCTTGCCTGCTTGTCTCTACTACGAATCTGGATTTGCCCCTTTGTGCCTGAGCTGTGTCTTTGGCTTTGACCCATGATTGCTCTTGACCTATGATTTGGGAAGTGTTTATCCACACTATGCTCTTCCCTTCTCCCCAGCCTGCAGCTCCTCTCCTCTGTGTGCACACATCACACTGCAGTTTTCTTAGCCCGCGAGCTGCTTGCTGTTTCCCAGATTCTCTTGGTTGTATCACCTAGCGCATGGGTTCATATTATATTTCAGAGCCATTGCTTCAGTCCACCATAAGCAGTGTGCATGACAGCAATAGGTTAAACTTGGACACTTAAATGGTGATTTATATGCATATAGATAATTAGTATTGTAGGACTGACTATTTTGAAGAACTTACCTGTTCCACTTTGATGTCATACTCCCCTTGGACTTTCTTTCCACGGAAATGTTTGGCCCTAGTGGACAAGAAAGGGTCAAAATGTTAATGATCTGTACTCAAAAGAAATAAATCAGTTTATGCATTAGAAAATGCATTAAAAATAGGTTTCTCATGCAAAGTCATCTATCCACCCATGTCTTAACCACTTTATCTGAAAAATCTGGAAAAATGACCAAAACGTGCTTCCTAAAACTTAAATAATCTGATCCATGGTTTTGTTTTTCTATACTGCTAGATGCAGTTATGTTAATATTTGAAAACTGTCAGCACTATGTCCAGAATTACAGTTTGTAATGTAAGTGTATACAGTATATTGTGTATATAAGGGTCAATAATAAAGTGAAAAATGTCCACTTTGCAAATAGACCCCAGCCATTACACATGGGTATATCAGAAACCGATGACAAGTTACAATTATGGTAAAACAGCTAGGTCAGTTTTCTTTTTGTAACTGAACATCTACTTTTCCTCTCAATTCCAACCCTTAAACTGGTTGTAACTTTAGCTCTTAGCCTGAACCCAACCCTAATTGTAATTTTCTACTTACTTGTACCGAGGTACATAATACAGATTCCTATGCTTGCAATGTCACTTCATGTTTGCATAAAATGCTGTTTATGTCATAAGAATAAAACATTAAGAATGTATTTTTAGGATAAAGTGATTTAAATTTACTTATGTTTACGTTTTTAAGAAGGTCCTTCCAGTTAATGACTCTACAACATAAGCAATAAGCCTTAGTCAGATTGCCTGGCTATTATGAATGATGATTTTGTGTTTCTTAAAATAAACACTCCATTAATTTGTCTGTATAATACCTTGGGGTTGCTCAAGACAACATTAATGGAAAAAAACACATTAACAACATTTCATGTTTTTTTTTTGCTACGAGGAATTGCTGCTAAATCACACAAAGAACATGCTGCTAAATCACACAAAGTTGGCAGATCTGTTTTTTCCTCAATTATAAAACAAATGACTTCATCTTTGAAAATAAACATTGGTTGAAAAAGAGTGATGTCAGCTGGTGCCTGACAAAAGTCATTAGCTTTGAAGAGCTTGAACTCTAAACAAGTCCTGAATGCTGTGGGGTTAGGAGAAAATTCCTCTACTTCATCTCACAAAAGCTTCTCTTAATCTACTTTCCCTAGCAAGACTAAGAAAGGTGAGAAAACATCAAATGTAATAAACACATGTGCAAACTTGAATAGTCCGATTTTTTGTATTCTGCGTAATTGTACTTTATTTCAGTACAGTGAGAGGAAGTGACAGATGGTCTGAGGTTTACCTGCATGCTACTGAATGTGAAGTGACAATTTTGTCTACTGTAAACTATGATTAAAAAAATTACGGTAGTTGAAAATGGTTCAGAGACAGTAAGTTAAAAAGTTAAGAGAAATTGGAGATTAGGCAGAAGCAGTGCTCAGGTAAGGCAGAGAGATCCAATTTCCACAGCTGAATTGAATTCTAAGGTTTGTCTCATTGGCCTGGATGTGATGAACCAGATAGTATTAAGTTGCCTTCTCTGGAATGCAAAGTATGCAAAATGGTGTCATTTAAATGCATTTCTGGAGGAGGTGAAATTGTAATCTCCCACTTTCTCTCTCCTAAATACTCCCAAATAAATTCTCATTGCCATATAAAAAGACGTAATAATTACCCACATCTCTTTGCATCTTTTTTAGTACCCCTCCTGCACCCTTGAAGCTGCCTCCCTGGTTCTTTCCTTATAAATGAGGGGGAGGGGGTTTGACTGTGCTGACCTTCAGCGCTGAACTAAAGCATTCCTTAACCAGACTCCACAAGCAATTAGAAAACTGTAAAGTGAATTGTGAATAGCAGTGAGTTAATAGTATCAATTAATGTATTGTACTGTACAGTATCTTTGGAGTGTTGGTAGAGTGGAGAAGGGAACAGCTAAAGAAAGTTACAATGCTATCCCTATTTAACCTTTAACAGGTGTGTGGTAGTCACCAGAGAAGAGTAAGTTATGCGATACAGTATATCATTTGCTAACATCCCAATGAGGCTGAAGAATTCAAGATGGCCACCCCCCCCCCCCTTTCCTGGTTGGGGGAGGAGGGGATAGGTCAGAACGTCCAACTCTAGGGAGGATGAACACTTATACAGTAGCTTTTCAGGAAATGGGACCCATATACAAGTACAGTAAATAAATGGTTGAAAAAATGTAATTAATTGGTACTGTATGAGCTTCCGGAATTCAATCTCTTAAATGTGAAAGGCATTTAAATCTTTTCTACACATATTATTTCTTCACCTCAGAAATAAGAAAGTCTGAAGATTCCAAACTATTCCTGGTTTATTTGTATAGGGCACATACTGTAATATTGAGAAGACCAGGTCCTGTGATCAGAACAGGCCAATGCATGAGAAGAAAATCTATTATAACACATTGATTTACAGCCAGAAAGTGACTTCATTCCAAAGAATGTTTTAGATGGCAACCGATGAGAGTGAAATGAAAAGTGCTCTTGTTTTTATTCTGAACGAGAAAATTTGCTGATTGGGGTTGAGCTCTTCAAGCCATCCAAGCCAAAGTCTTACACGTCTCTTCTGCAAGTAACCAGAGGCGCTTGGAGGACTTTGGCAGAAGAATGAAAATTTGAGAAGACTTGGCTGGAGCTTAAAAACACAGCAAGCAGAAAACTCTTTTGTGGAGCAGTGTCTCTGACACTCTAACCTAAGATCGCACAGATTGAAGTGACTTCTGCAGTGTGAGGCCTGGTGTTTTGTCAAATAATAGCTATCTTCTTAAGTGCAGAATTATGTGGGAGCAGGCAAACAATACACTGAAGAGTGCACTTAGAGTGCAGCCTACTCTTGTTATTAGTGTTAAAATCAGCTATTTTACATTTTCTGAACATTAGCTGCATTTCAGAAGCTACTATAACGGGGGTTCTCTCTGTACTTGCTGTCAAAACTGAATCCTGCAGCTGTCACCATTCAAAAAGTCCTAATTTCTTTGAAATATGCAAATAGTGTTTTTAATGTGGCTTGGCGTATGACAACATTTAAAACCAAAGTCATCACCTCAGCCTTTCAAGTGCTAGGAAATGTAATAAATTAATATTTTCAATAATCAAAATGGCTTTCACTAGTACATTTAAGTGCTCAGCCACGCTAGGTCTTGCTTTGTTGATTTTCAGACAGTTTTCCCTCCTCACAACTTTCTTTGGCACCCAGGACCCATCCTTGAGGAAGCTTCCTTCTGCTATCACAATCCTCAAAACTGTAGATAAGGTCTGTTTTCAGCTGATAAGAGTCTAGACTGAGCTGCCAACCTTGATCTCTTCAGCATATTATGTCTAAGATTTGCTCCACCATTACCAGCTGAATTGCATCTCAGATACATAAATGTATTAAAAAGTTGGAAAAAAAAACAGCTTTCCTTGGGGTCTGCTGCCATCTTCTGTTTGATGCTCAGAAAACATATTTAACATTAGCTGACACAAAAACTGCCCTGATCAGAGTTTCGTCAATTTATAATAATGTAGCTTTGGTTATGCATTTTACAGTACCTCCCTTAAGATGGAAATTTCTCGTTTCTCAAGATTTGTCATTCATGTTCTAAAATCAACTTAACCACTCATCTTGAAACTAGACTGTTAAATTTGAACTGACTTACACTGACAAATTTACAAAGTGTTATTTCTCAAATAGTGACACACTGTTAGTTTTGATGCTCATATAATTTACTGTTTCACTTTGTTTGGAGTGATAATTAATATAAATTTAGTTTAACTGTTGACTGACCAACAAAGCGATTTTGCTACTGGCTATGAAAGTAATATTTTTAAAGCTCAAAATGTTGTCTTTAAAATAGCAAATTTGGGTTGTTTCAGTCAAAAAACAAGTTAACATGAAGAACACATATTGTGCAGGGAATTAACTTGTGGTTGTTTACAGGCTCAAGAGCTATGGAAAAATAAATCTATTTGTAGTGTTTGAGCTCCAATACAAAATGGTACCCCACTAAACAACACTTTTAACTAATGGATTTGCTTGCCAAACACTCACAAACTATGACACTAATTAAAATATTTTCTGACTAGCCTTGCATGGATTGTTTAAGAATCAGTTTACACTTCCCTGTTAGAAATCAGAGTAATGTGTTTCTGCATACTGTAGGCTAATTCAGACACCTGCCTGTCTCCTTATTGTAAACCATGGTGAAACCACTCAAAGTCTGAGGATTCCTTTTCTGAGTCTCTGGGCAGATAAATGGACAACAATATGTCTGCCAAGTAATGCTTTATTACTTTTTCACAGATTGGGTTAAGAGAACATTAGACCAGCTTCATAGCCTTTTAAGAAATAATGTTTAGAATTTGGTTTCCAAGTAATTAAATATTAATATCTCTTTTTTTGCCTGTAGTTTCTTATATTTATCCCTTGTGTCTAGGCTGATCCAAAGTATATAGACCTTTTTTAGAAATGTACCTTATGTCTTACTGTAATCCAAGAGTATAACAGTACCACCGGTAAAATATATAGCAGCAATATACTGTAACAATATGTCTAAATTGATTAATGTATTTTTTATCTGGAGTTTGCTCTAAGATCCTTTTTACTTTTTAGGTATTTCATAGCCATGTAGACTATAACATGCTGAATAATTTCTTAAACAAAGTGAATTTGGCTATGATGCTTAATTTGATTTACCCCTCCACTGTTCAGCTGTGTTCAAATGTTCAGCTGTCAATGGCTAACTGCTATATAAATATGAGCAGTAATTAAGCGGCGCTTCAAGGAGATTGTCATCGATCTGGTTAATGTGGAAGTGTACAATGAGATGTTTTAAGGCGTTACATACTAAGCAGTATTTGTAGCTTTTTGTAGATTAAAAATGATACAAGAGCTACGCTTAACAGCAGCATTACACACAGATCATTGCATAAGTAAAGAAAAAAATTAAAGCATGTAATGAAATTGATGCTTTCACAGCCATGGGTTAAATTTGGAGGTAAAAATCGTGACTAGTTGTGAAATCCAGCC